TTTATAGCAGATACATATCGCTGCTCCCCAGTACAAAAACCTCCTTATCACACATTATTTATCTCTGTACAGCTCACAGCCTGTTGCACCTGTACTCTTTCTTCTCAGTAGATGGTGGTATATCTTTACTCAGACCCCTTTATACTGAGCAAGTGTCGTGTAGTCGTAGCTGACATGATGGTTATATTTAAGAGGAGGAGGATGCAAAAAAAATAAATACACCACCCACCTAATGACTTCATGTAAATTTGCTGATAGGACGGTTTACACAAAGAGGAGCTTGGAATTTATCAGTATAACTTCTGATACATTGACAAAAGACAACATGATCAACCTATTCCTAAGCATTCTTTTTAATACTATCCTGGTTTCAGGTAATGTTAATTTTTTTTTTTTTAACATCTGTAACATCTGGTGTATTTCTGTACAGCCAGTTCTCCACGGTGCTGCTATTCTAGCAGCAACTTAATTTTATTACATTGCTGAATTTACCAGTGCTCATTCTTATAAAGTGTCTTCTTGTTTTTGGTCTTTTCAACAGGTTCCTCTCTCAGTGACCAAGTCCATCAGACTCCATCTGACTTATACAACAAACCAGGAGAAAAAGCCCAAATCAACTGTTTACACACCATACAAAGCTATAACCAAATCTACTGGTACAAGCAGACAAACAGACAGCTACAGTTCCTGGGATATGTGTATTTAAGCAACGGATCTCCAGAGCCTGGGGTAAAAGTAAAAATGGAAGGGAATGCAAACAAAGACCAAAACTGCACATTAACAATTGAAGAACTGAACAGCAGTGCAGTTTATTTCTGTGCTGCTAGTTTACACAGTGCTACATGTCGCTGCTCCTCAGTACAAAAACCTCCCCATCACACACTATTAATCTCTGTATTACAACTCACAGCCACTTACACCTGGAATAAGCCAGTTTAACCACTGATGGTTTTGCCTCTCACAAAGATCAAACTTCATAACGGTGAGCTCTTTGCTATGCAACAATTAACCCACCACCTCCTGACAGCAGCCTCAGACATTCAGCATGTCTGCAGTCTTACTTCAGGATCACATTGACTGAGATTTAGTGAAGCTGATGTTAGTGAATCATTTTAGAAATATTAACCTTCATATTATTGTAACTTTACATTAAAGACAGGACTGTACAATTCAAAACACTTACTTGAACTTTCTATTACTGTCAAATAAGTCAGATTATTTTCAAAACTCAAAGAAAGTACTATTAAAAAGGTTTACAAAACAAATAATTTCAAATAAGGAGAAAAACTTTAGAGTAACTGTTTCAATGTAGACTTTTTCCCATAGCTACAGTGTATTTCTGCACTTTGACTCTGCACTTTGATTGTTAATGTGAATTTGAAGTGAAAGTACATGTGCTCCTAAATGAAAAATTTAAGAGCCTTGTGTGCAATTATAATGTGAACCCAGTGGATGACTATGGAAGTGAAGACCCTGTTATCTGGACACTTTGCATGGGCCCAAAAAATGGATTTTTTCAAATTTGATAGAAAACAGCTTTTAAAAACACTGACCACTTATGTTTTTGTATAATAAGTTGTCAAGCGGCCACAGATCGACCCGCACACCGAGGTTGGCTTGTCCGACTATGTTTTAAAAGGATAGGGGCGGGGCGGGGGGGATTGTAACACTGTGCTAGTAAATATTTTTTCCCAGTTGGCAAGCATCTATTTTTAGGGGCATATGCGACTAAATTGGTCGCATGTAAAGCCCTGACACTGCATTATCACTTCTAACAAATGATTGTTTTCATTAGTTTATAGGGAGAATAAGAGGTCTTTGTTGTTCTGCTTCCTTTCATAAGATGATGCATGTTTACTGAGGCAGTGGTGAGTAGGGCTGAATGATTAATTGCATTTGCGATATTATCGCAATGTGAAAACAAGATTTTCTAATCGCAAAGGCTGCGATTACACTCTGGTCACATGACACTAGGGCTGTCCTCGACTAAGGATTTACATAGTCGAATCAGAATCGTCAAGTCCTGCCTATAGTCAACTTAGTGTCGAATCATGTGTGCTTTTTGTACGTGGCAATTGCGAGCTGGCGGGGGAGTGGGGTGTTACACACGGTCGTGAGTTAATCTTGAGAAGCTGCAGAGCTGCAGTCTATTCATTCAACTTACACTGTAAATTTCCAGCTAAACTGAGGCACTCTCGCTCTCTCTCGCCTGTCATTCACCAGTCTTGTGCAGAGTTTTACGTTCATTACTGCTGCCGACAAATGTATTGCACATCACGGTTCTTTGCAGGTCTATTTCAAACCAAACTCACAATCCAAAAGAGGCCCAGTCTGTTCAGAGTTACAGCCAGCGCGCTAATTACCAGCATCAGAGGCTGTGGGGGTGGGGATCTCCGGTGCCGTTGGAGAAATACTAAGCTTGTCTATTAAACACAAGAGGCGTCACTTGGTTTTATTTTTGTTGGCCAAATTTTTAATTGAACCTCAAACTGAGTATTTTTTGTTTGCTTACTTGGATATAGAAAGATGGACACCTCGGAGATTAGAACTGAGATAATGACTCATTAATTGGTCGTTGAACTGTGGGTTTTGTATTGAGCGCTTACTATAATACACTGCGGTAAACTTAGTTGTTCTTGTGATCTGTAGGTAGGCCTACCTGATATCATAAATTTAATACCATGACTTGACACTCAAATTATTATCATTAAAATATGGTATTTCTTCTCCATAGCTCATAATAATAATTCATGACCTAATTTCATCATAACACAGGCCTGACCCACAAGAAAGAACAGTGTATGTTTAATCTAGCTAATATTGTGAAGGGCATACACTGATTTACTGCTTGTCCATTTTGAATAATACAGATAAGGATAAATAAATACAGGTAAAGAGCTTAAAAATGTATTGCATATTAAATCGCAATTGCAATAAATAAATAAAAAACGCAATTAGATTTTCCAAAATCATTCAGCCCTAGTGGTGAGTGATAGTAGTTGACATGAGGGTTTTAATGTTAAGAGGAGGAAGCACACCACCACCCACTAAAGAGGTTGTGTTTGTTTTCCTGATAGGAGTGTTCACTCAGAAAAAGGAGGTGGAAATGTATCAGCATAATAGCACATACTGTGGTGAAAACAGTACCAATAACTCGACTGAAAACCTTCAGAAAACATCATGATTATTTTCTTCTGTATAACCTTTAACGTTATACTAGTTTCAGGTAATGAAAAGTATCATTCGTTCTTTTGAAACACATATTTACAGTTATTTTTCACAGTCAGCCAGGTTGCTCTGGCTAATTAAGTTGTACTCCATTTGCTCTGAAATGTAAATTCTGTGATTAGTGAAACAAGAGATTTAAGAACTTTAAAATAATCAAAGAACAGAAATCATTTTAACAAGTTATTGTCTAAAACTACTTTGTTCCATTTATTTGCATTCATTCTTTCTTAATGTGACTGATTTTTTTTGTTAATACCTTTTTTAAAAGGTTCCTCTCTCAGCGATAAAGTCAAGCAGACTCCAGCTGACATATACAATGAACCTGGAGGAACAACCAAAATCCACTGTTCACACAGTATTCAGGACTACACCCGAATCTTTTGGTACAAGCAAACAAAGAACAATCAGATGCAGCTCCTGGGATACATGAATGTAAATAATGCATATCCTGAACCGGGAGTAGAAGTGAAGATGGAAGGGGGTGCAAATAAAGACCAGACCTGCATATTAACAATTCCAAGACACAATCTGAGTTGTAGTGCGGTGTACCTCTGTGCTGCTTCCACACAGTGCCACATACCACTGCTCCTCAGTACAAAAACCTCTTGACAGCCCCTTGCACCTGTATTAACCCATTCTAACCAACGTTGGCCTTCATTCTCATCCAGATTAGATATTAATGGGAGGACCCTTATTTTAATGAATGAAAATCTTAACCTGCTATTTACTGCATTTATAATTTACAATGTCTGAAGTTGCTGCATCTCATATTAACAAGGTGACTCAAAATCCTGCCACATATTCAGATTATAAGTTTTAGTTTTTTTGATGACTATCAATACTTCATAATGCAATTTTTTTTGGTTATGGTACGGTAAATTAAAGGCAGAATTGACTCAATTCAAAAGCAGTGTAACTTCCTTTGACTGTCTAAATGATTGAGAAATGTTTAAATATGCAGACCAAGTCTGTGCCGTTATCCTCTGGTCCTATTAAAGGCATTTTCTGCAGCAATACTGGCAAACACAGGAGTACAAGAGGGAAATATTTTAAGTTAAAAACACCAGTGAGACCCAAAAATGTTATATGATCCAAACTGATAGGGTTTAACAGGCAGATTGTCATTGTCATTATTTATTGTTTTACTTTTAGATCAAAGATGTAACTTTGTTGAATGTCTCTTGTGGTATTTATGGAAAAATCAAAAATGCTACCCGCAGCACAAGAAGAAAAGAATCTTAAAGCCAGAAAACCGACTCAGTAATGTCAGGCACACAGCAATATCTATCTAAAGTTTGCTAACATTAGCTAGCATTGGCTACCATAAGCTACAGATCTTACCAGACCAAGTCAGGCTGTAGCAGCAAAACCTGTCAGTGCATTGAATTGAGGAAAGTTCTGTTTTATTGTTTAGAAATTCAACATTCCATTTGTGAAAAGATAACATGTTGTATCTTATTGCAAAACTTATTCTCACTTTAATGTTTAGATAAGGCATTAATTGTTGTGACAACAGATATGTGCAAAAAATAATAAAAAATTATTAATTATATCATTATATATCGCATTATTAGTCAATGGGTTGTTGTGTGTCTTTGTTGTTTTGCTTCCTATTATAAAGGTGGCAGTATCTCTCTACTAAGGCAGTGGTGAGTGGGGGTTACTGACGTGATGGTTTTAATGTTACGAGGAGAAAGGACTATGGCACCACCCACCTTTGAAAGTATGTCTTTCCTGGCAGACTGGTTTGCTAAAAAAACGAGGAGGAGGAAGTAATCAGTATAACAGTATATTCTGTGGTGAAAACATTGGTTCCAATGACTAGACTGAACTTAAATTTTGTCAGAAAACACAACACGATGATAATTTTCTTCTGCATAACCTTTGATCTTTTTCTGCTTTCAGGTAATAAAAAAGAATTTTACTGTATTTGTAAATTTTGCAAACTGTCAGGTTGCTTCAGTTTTTCTAATTCAAAGCTAGAGAAGAAGATGAGATGTAGATTTTGGAATTAGAAAAAACGAAAATTAACCGACAAAATTCTAGAAATGTAAAAAGGTTTTTATATAAATCAAAGAAAGGAAAGGGTTTTTTCTTTAACAACTACACTTAAATGTTTTTTACATTTGTCTTTACTCTCTCTGATTGTATACTGTTGATATTGTGATGATGCTTTTTCCACCACAGGTTCCTCACTCAACGTACACCAGACTCCAGCTGACATGTACAGCAAACCCGGAGGAACGGCCAAAATCCACTGTTCACACAGTATTCGGAGCTATGATAGCATTCTCTGGTACAGGCAAATAAATAATAGGCAACTACAGTTCCTGGGATACCTCTATATAAACATGAAAAACCCTGAGGATGGAATGAACGTGAAGATAGATGGGCAAGCAGAAAAAGACCAGAACTGCACATTAACAATTGAAAAACTCAACAGCAGTGCAGTTTACTTCTGTGCTGCTAGATACACAGTGCTACAGAACACTGCTCCTCAGTACAAAAACGTCATCAGACATTTTTATCTCTGTGTTACAGCTCACAGCTCCTTGCACCTGTAGTAACTCATTCTCGTCAACATTGCTTTTTCATCTCATTAGGGGCAGAGGTTTTAATGGGAGGTTCCTTATTTGGAGCAATGCCGTATTTAACCTCCCTCAGACATTCATTATGTGGCTTCATCTCATGTTAACAGGATCACGATGATGACTCAAGTTCTCGTACCATTTGTAGTCTCGTATTTGTGGCTTCAAGGTAACAAGGATGAACAAAACATTTAAATTTAAATATATTTTCAAGTAGTAAGAGATTACATGTATTTATTGACATGGCAGCATGCTTATTGAAACCTACATTTCATTCATTTTGTTTTTCTTTACTATCCTTTCTAATGTCTATATGTTTATGTCTTACTCAAAATTGAAATCAGTAAATCTTACAAAACATAAAGTATAATTTGTTACATTGTGGTAATACATTTTTTAAAGAAACACAAATTATAATGAAAACTGTTTTCTCCTCACAGTTCACTGCCAGGGAGTGACCCAAGTCCCTAAAATCAGCTGGAGTTATGAGTCCAAATCTGCAGAGATGAACTGCAGCCACAACAAAGATATTTCTCATAACCAGATGTACTGGTACAGGCAGCGTCCAGGGGAGACCATGACCCTCATTGTTTACACAGTTGCAAGTGGAAAGCCAGACTATGGGGGGTTCTCTCAAACCAAGTACTCAGCCATCAAAGAGAACATTGAGACCGGGAGTCTTACTGTGAAAGACCTGCAGCCTGAGGACAACGGTGTGTATTTTTGTGCCGTCAGCAAACACAGTGATGCGAGAAGCTGAGCAGCTGAACAAAAACTGGCTGACAATAAATTTGGTGAGTATATTACAAACCACATTTTGACTTTTATATATCTTTCCACTAGGTGGCACCAGGGCTCAAGAAATACTCTTCACCTTAACACACGGCAGCACTATGAAATATAATGCAGCTGGTGTAGATGTGATAGAAGAGTTGACAGTAAACAGAGTGTTCTTCAGACAGGAACTCAACATGCTCACAATATTCGTTTTATCTTGGCTCATAGGTAATCATCTTTAATATTCAGGAATACCACTGTATCTATATTTTCTGCAATGATAATTGATTTTCCCTTTTCTAGGTGTTTGTCTGGGTCTTGAGGTCCGGCAGTCTGCCTCTAATCTCATCACAAAGCCTGGTGACAAAGTGCAGATTTTCTGCAGCCATGATAAAACTGACTACAGGGTGATGCTCTGGTACCAGCGATCACCTGGAGACACGGCTATGAAACTTATTGGATATTTGAATTTCCAAGCTGTCACAATGGAAGAGCCATATAAAAAACATTTCAATATCTCTGGAAATTTGGGTGGAAATACAGCAAAGAATGGCTCACTTACAGTCCTAATAACTGGACTACAGAGTGCTGTTTACTACTGTGCAGCCAGCTCTGCACAGTAACTGTAGTTTCCTTCTCCATTATACAAAAACTACTAACCCCTATCAGCATGTAAGGTTTTAAACTACACCTTGAGCAGATACCTCCCAGCCAGCTGCACTGTCTTTGAAGCTGTCATCTTTGCCAGCTAATATATAGTGATGTTGTTTCATCATCACTTCCCTTTCCTGTTTAAACAAGCGTCAGCGCAGTCTAGTCATCAGTTGCATCTTCTCCATCACTAATAGAATCACAGTAATCGTGATCTGATGAGAGATCCAAGCGACTTACATCTGCAAAACTCATATGTAGTCTGAAATGTCATTTTGAGTAATTGCTTTATTTTGAAGACAAAATGATCGGCATTCTCCTATTCTGCTGTCTGGCAGGTAAACACACTTTCAAATAAAATTAGCTCATGTGTTGGTGGAAACATTACTTTCTCCTTCATAATTATCATAATATATATAATTTTACTCTATTCCTACTATTTTTGTTTTTTGTCCAGGTGTTTGTCTGGGTCTTGAGGTCCGCCAGTCGGTCTCGAATCTCATCACACAACCTGGTGACAACGTGCAGATTTTCTGCAGCCATGATAAGACTGACTACTGGGTGATGCTCTGGTACCAGATCACCTGGAGACACAGCTATGAAACTCATTGGATATTTGTACTTAAAAGATGTCACAATGGAAAATCCATTTGAAGGGAAATTTGATATATCTGGAGATTTGGGGGGGAATACAGCAAAGAATGCCTCTCTTATAGTCAAAAATGTAAGACAAGAGCACAGTGCTGTTTACTACTGTGCAGCAAGAGAAGCACGCTGACAAAAAAAATCCCTTCTAACTTCACAAAAACTCTACACGATCTTTTCTCATCAGCGGTTTTGAATAAAGACATGAAATAAACTGCTCCCAGACACCTGCTTTTGTGGTTGTGTTATGGTGTGATGCCATCATATGATCATTAGCTAATGCAACTGTTTCAATTTTATTGGTTTATTCTAATTAAACCAGACAAGCAAAACTTCTCCTAAAATACAGCATTAAAGAAAATTGTTCAAATCAAAGGATTTGTGTGGGAATCAGGTTTAAAGGTAGAGCATAATAATGCAACTGCATTAAGACACTCCTCTTTTCTACATCACATTTGCATTGTACTTAAAAGAGACACAGATTTGTGAGAAAGCACTACAGCAGACACCCTGTCACCCGTTAACTTATACTGCCTTTTTCCATGCCTTTGCAGTAACTCATTGCTCCATGTCAGATTTCTACATGATGATTAGACTTCTCTTTTGCCATTTCCTCACAGGTAACTACAGCTTCACCGTGAAATAAGATGTACTGCATTTACCTTTACATCTAAAATCAATAATATGTCCATCTCTACAGCAGGTATTTCTCTGGGGGTTCAGGTCCATCAGTCTCCCTCTGCTGTCCTCAGGAAGGCTGGTGGTGAAGTGCAGCTTGTCTGTACTCATGGAAAACCTGACTACACAGTGATGCTGTGGTACCAGCAATCACCTGGCGACAAAGCCCTGAAACTCATTGGATATGTAGAATATAGCCGAATAAGCCATGAAGAGTTATATAAAAATCATTTTAATATCACTGGAGATTTAAGTGGAAGTACAGCAAAGAATGGTTCTCTGTTTATAGTGGATCTAAGAGAGTCTGAGCACAGTGCAGTGTACTACTGTGCAGCTCGATATGCACGTTGAGACAGATCTCCTTTCAACTACACAAAAACTAAAACACCATCCTTTATCAGCTGTGGTTTTGGGTAGTCTCAGAAAGTCCTGCACCAGCCAGCTGCAGTCAAGGTCTCTGTCATGTGATTTATACCTCACTTCCTCTTGTCTTTGCTGAGTTTTTTTCATATTCAGTCCAGTCATATAGACAGAGTAGTTGCCTCCTCACCTTCATCACAATTATCCTTTTATGAAGAATTAAATCTGCCATCACCAAAAATGATTTGTTTTCTACTTTCTTGTCATCTTATAGGTAATGTAATCAGTTCTTTGGATCAACAGTTTGTTTTTATTTTCAAGCAGATAAAGTTCTGACTCTTTTTGTAGGTTTTTCTCTGGGGGTTCAGGTCCATCAGTCCCCCACTGCTGTCATCAAAAAGGCTGGTGATGAAGTGCAGCTTTTCTGCACACATGGACAAAGTAACTACAGAGTCATGCTGTGGTACCAGCAGTCACCATGGGACAAGGCTCTGAAACTTGTTGGATTTGGATATACGGAGTTCAAAAATGACAGCGTGGAAGTGTCATTTAGAAAACATTTCAAATTAGCAGGGGATTTGAATTCAGACAAAAAAAATGGTTCACTTTCCATAAGCAATCTAAAAGCACTTGAACACACTGCAACATACTTCTGTGGTGCCAGGGAGGCACAGTGGATCAAACATCCATCTGCTCTTGACAAAAACCTCTTAACACCTCCACTCTCAGGGCTCTACAGTGCGACCAATATAGTTGCAGATACCCTAAAGATAGAAGCATGCAAACCAGAAAAATTATTTACGAGCACAGTGTGCAAGTAAAGATTACTACTGTACCCGCCCTGCCTAGCTGCTATCCGTTCAAAACACAGTCTGACTGGCCAACGGCAACACCGGGAGAAATCCAGGTGGGTGGGTTGCTCTGCAGCCACTTGAGTAGCTAGTTATACAAAAACATGAATGATGAGTGTTTTAACAGCGGTTTTTCAATGTGTGAAATAAAATAAAATAAATATCTGTTTCAATGTTTTAAAAAGTTCTGACAATATGTTGGGCCCATGCCAAGTGTCCAGATACCAGGGTCCTACACTGGTTTCATGGCATAATTACACACAAGCAGAAGGAGCACGTAGTATAAATATGAAAATAATATACTGCTTGCTAATAAACTCTGTGTAACTAAAACATTTTTCACTGTGGTCCAACATTTCTTCATTTAGGAGCAGCATAGAGCCCTGATTCTGAATGTAGCTTAAAGAGTAAATGGGAGGTCTAAAGCTACATTTTAATTATAGAAAACTTAAGATCTGATTTCTCTACATCACTTCCTGCCCCTCCTTCTGATCCACAAACACAGCAGAGACTTTAGCTGGTTCTTCACATTCAACATGATGCCTTCCTGTGTCATCGTTTCCATCATCACTGTCTTCTGCTTTAAAGGTAGTGTCACTCATTACATTTGGAATTAATCCTCAAAAATCTTAATAGATGGAGTAACTGAGGTGAAATATTTACATCCACTAACCACTTATTGCTGTTTTTCCAGTAGCTTAATAAAACCACACAATAAGGTTTTAACCACTAGTGGAAAGACATTATAGCACTCCTCACATTGTGTCTTCATTTTTTTTTTTAACAGGAGTTTATCTCAGTAATGACAAAAAAGTGTCTCAGACTCCACATGAACTGCTGATGAAACCAAATGCTGAAGTGAACCTGAGCTGCACACATGGAATCTCCAGCTATGACACTATTCTCTGGTATCAGCGTTCACCAGGAGACACTTCCCTAAAGTTGATTGGCTATATGAATTATAGGCGTCCTTTTGTTGAGCCAGCATTTAAAGACCACTTTAATGTGAGTGGAGATGGAGAAAAGACAGCTCATCTTCACATCCTGAAACTGAGGCACCCTGAGGACACAGGAGAATATTTTGGAGCAGCAAGTATGCACAGCAATAAAGACAGTGCATCTCTCATACAAAAACCTCCATAATAATCCAGCAGATAACAGCACACAACAGGAAACCAGTGAAACCACGTGACACTGAAAAAAAGTCTTCATTATAACTGGTTAACTAGAATACATCCTTATGGATCCTTTTATTTCACAGCACTGCACTTTAGAGGTAGATGTTTTCCAAGACAATGATAAAGATTCACAATAATACATATTTCTAAAATGTAATAATTGAACACACAGGATGAGGATCGTTTTTACAGACTGGGCAATCTTCGAAAAATGGTCAAATATTTCCCAACGACTATCGAAGAGTATTTTTGCTTGAAATGCCCATCCCTAATAGCGACAGCCCTCTACTGGTTGAAACGCTGCTAATTTAGATTAATTGTCATTTTACTGATACTCATATACACAGATACTTCATCAGTCTTAGTAACTTATGTGACCAACATATAGACACAATAATGCAACCCAATGGCACAGGGCAACTACACAGTGGACCCATCCCGTAAGCCAGTGATAAAACTAGTTTTTAGGTCGAGACAATGGTGAAAAATGTTGATCATTGTTTTCCAGAGCTCAAGGTGACATCCTCAAATGTCTTTTTTTGTCCATAGCCCACATATCCTCAGTTTACTGTCATAGACAAGTAAAGAAAACAGAAAATATTCTCATTTGAGAAGCTAGAATCAGAGAGTTTTAGACGCTTTTTCTTTAGAAAGGACTCAGAACGATGAATCCATTATAAATTTAGTTGGCGATAAATTTAATAGTTGACAACTAATTGTCTTATTATTGCAGCTCTATCGGGGACTGTCCTCTTGCATCATCAGCACAACGGGGACCCACATGGAGAAGTTTTGGAATCTACACATTATGGATTTATTTATCTTCTCTGATGTTAAAGAGCCTGCCATAAATAAATAATGAGCATTATTGTTTCGGACTCCCACTGGAACTCATTTGTCATGAAAGACTTGTAGGAAAAGCAGGGAGAAAAAAAAATGTCATAAATTATTATGTGTTTGTATTTGAGACAGCTGACCTTTTGCAGTCATGCAAATGATGACTTCTCTCAGTAGCAAAGAGAGGAGCTTGATATACTTGGGTAGGAAGTTGGGTGGTGGTTGGGCTACCTGGCCATAAAAGAATCAACCAATAGGTGGAGGCACAGCACATAGTATGCAACTTTTATCATGAGGATGTGGTGAGGAATTAACCTTCACACACAGCAAACACCCTATTCACATGGGCCTTATTTTGTCAGTGCAATGCTTTGCTCTCACATCAGTGCCTGACAATGTCTTCATCTATGCAAACCTTTGGTTTTTTCTTTATGTGTTTTTCATGTAAGACATCAAATTTCATCCTCAATTACATGATAGTCATTACTTGTATTATTATTTATATAAACATGCTAAACATGTTAAAAATAAATATTTTCTCCTTATTTTTGTTCTGCGTCAATAATCAATTTTCTAAATCTGCTTCTTCCACAGGTCAGGTGAGCGCTGTTACATTTCAACAATCTCCTCCCAAGATAGTGACGGAGAAAGTTGAGGTCCAGATTAACTGCCGTCACGATGATAATAGCCTTCTGTTGATGCTCTGGTATCAGCAAAGAAAGGACAGTCTGTCTATGACGCTCATTGGGCATGTATATGGAAAAAGTCCCCCAAACTATGAAGGTCTGTTTGAAGAACAATTCAATCTGACAAGAGAAGACACAACCAGAGGAACGCTGATTATTCACACAGCAAATCTGTCACACTCTGCTGTTTATTTCTGTGCCGCTAGAGCACACAGTGATGTGGTTTAATGCCACTCCCTCACTAAAAACCCTTTCCTTTTCCGTGTAAATGATGAGATACGTGCATTTGCACAAGTGCGGAGTGTCTCTTAACACATCACTGGAGGGAGCGGTGTCCCCCCTGCAACAGCACAAACTTGAAAATGTCTCCAGCTGTGTACGGATTTATTCTCATCTTGCTTTTATGTAATGAAATTAGCTGCAAAACAGCAATTTAATAGTGTTGTTAATTTTATAAAGCAATTATATGAATGTTCTTTCACTGTTGCTTCTGTATCAACCACTTTTAAAATATGTGTTTTTCCTACAGATCGAGCCACGAGTTTGACGTTTGAGCCATCTCAACCAAGAATAATCAAAGAAAACACCAGGGTAGAAATTAAATGCAGTCATGATGATAGCAACCTCTATGTAATGCTCTGGTACCAGCAAACAGAGAGTAGTCTGATGAATTTAATTGGATACAGCTACAGCGGCAGTGACCCAGACTATGAGAAGCAGTTTAAAGGCCGGTTTGAGATTACAAGAAAAGACATCCAAACAGGATCTTTGATCATTGGCACGGTGAATCTGTCAGACTCGGCTGTGTATTTCTGCGCTGCCAGCACAGTTTAATGTCACTGCTTCACTAAAAACCTGCTACAACATGGAAACTAGTAACAGCTGTTACTCAGGGGTTTAGTTATTTGAGAACTGAAAATATTATGCTGTTAATTAGGGCATGATTTATGTATAGTATTACTAATTAATGGGACCTTAATTATATGATGAAGTAACTGAACTTGTAGCTTGCATTTTTGCAGTAAATAAAATGCAAATATTTTTATATCATGTATATAACAATGTACCAAAAGCTAATCATGTTTGTGTTGATACAGGTGACCATAACAATCACACCTTAATCATTTAAATGTTTTTCCAATGAAAAAATTGTCACTCCCTCTAGTTGGCAAATCATATCGCAATTGTTATATCAGTCATAATAATCTGTATTATAATATATAATAATTAGAATATTTTTCTAAATCGAAAAATGTTGCATAGAACTTATGTAACTTGAGTGTTTATTTCACAAAATCAAAAGCATGAAAACATCTTACAAGTGCCAAACAACAACTAAATGAAAAAGCTCAGCCACTCAAAGAAATTAATCACACTTAAATTAATCCTGAATCCAACACAATAATTAGCAGCCCAGCTAGCTACTGTCAAAGTCCTCAGATCACTTAGGTCCTAAAGTCTCTAAAATGTCTCTGCTACTGTGCAGTCGTTAATTAAACACAACACAGCAGGAAAGTATCAACATTAGCCAGCAGCCAACCTTTAGCTTAACCAAGTCCGCAGACACTGAACAAAACCAACAAAATCAACTCCTAATACACATAGCACAAGCAGCAAATGTTTACCTTGGTGAGGTGACGCTGAAACTTTAATTCCTGGCGTCTCGAAGAAGAGCAAACTTTTATTAAGAGCCCCAAGAAACCAAAAGCACTTCAAGCGCATAACTGTGGACGACCGTTGAAACAACAGATCCAAACTTACAAATCACAACCGTAGACAGAAAATCTGCCATCTATCGCTAGTTACCTTTACCTCTGTTAGCAAAAAGTTGCAGCCATCGCCAAGATGTCAAACAAGATATGAGTAGAAAAAAGGCAGGTAACTTGGACAGTTAGCTATCGCACTGTTAGCTTCACAACTGTTAGCTTTCGCACTGTTAGCTTCACAACTGTTGCCGTTAGCTCCAATTGACGGTTTATGGTCATAACCTCAGCTAAGCCAAGGACACAAACTCGACTTAAAAGGCAAAACATTCACTCACAAAATACATGTTAGCAAAATCAAATTCTTACCTTGGTGAGGCGAAGCTGTTATTCCGAGGAGAGTAAATCTTTTCAGGAGTTTCAAAAGGAGTCAAAAGCATGACAAGAAAACTCAGGTTCAGACTTCAAGTGCGCATTTGTGGCCAACCGGTGATGTGAGGAACAGCAGTTGATGTGACAAAGAAACTACAAATCAGCAGTGTAGAGAATCATTGTTAAATATTGGCAGTAAACTCGCATTTAACCTACAGTAATTTAGTAAATTTTTTAACTTATTTGTCACAGTGAGAGGGTGGCTTGTATTAATGTTCAAACACTGTAATAAGTGGGCGGAGTCAGTTTAAAAAGACCGCCTAATTCAGTTTTGACCAATCAACAATAAAACAGTAACTCAAAATAATCATAAGGGGTACTGAGAAAATCAAATCAAAGGCAAAACAGCCAATTGAGACTTGGACTAACATAGGCTATTCTAAGACCTGATTTTTTTTTTTTTTTTTTTTTGAGGAGAAATAGCCTATACATAATACACATTATTCCATGAAAGAACTGCAGTCATCATCAAGGAGAAATTGGTATTAAGATTTTTGTATGTAAGCTGTCAGTTGTCATATGTTTCTCAACAAATTGCCCCTAGTTATAGTGCTTGAATCGGGATTAATTGTGATTTCTTTCTTTTCTGTACAATTCTGTTAAATGGCAACAATAGGTGTTCAGTTGCCTTTTTTTTTTTTTTTGCAACCTTGCAACCTTTTCTCACTGCATTGGAGTTGTCTGCTTGTACTTTTCAAACAACCTTATTAGAAAACTGGCTTTAAATTGGCAAAACAAAACTGCAGGCCTTAATGCTCAATTCCAATTTTTTCCCAGATCCGATTTTGTTTGTTTGATAGTTCACATTAGTGGCCGATATCAGACTCCAGTGTGAACTGTCCGCGGCCTGAATGTGACCCGCATGTGCAGAGGAACAACACAACGTCACAAGCAGTAGCAGCTGTTCCAGGCTACAGAAGTAAACAAGGAGCAACAGAGGTTAGGTTAGCTCAGGTTAGCTCACGGGACACTCCCATTTTTTTTGTCCTCTCACGGGTCACATTTATCCCAAATTATGACAGTTGTTCTTTTCTTCAACTTTCTGTTCTTTTCTTTACGGTTTCTGGCGCTGTACAACACAACTGCCCCACAGCTCCCTCCCTCTCTCTCCCCACTGTGTCAGCTTGGAGAAATGGCATGCACATAACTCAGAAGAGAGAGTCCGGTGGATTTCAGGTGTAAGCAAGGGAATTTGTGAGCAGATGATAGCGAGGTAGAGGAGGAAGAGAACCACATGTTTAATAATGGCTTTTTGTGGAGCTTTTTCATTCACAGCGGCTCTGTCTGCAGCAGAACAACAGCTGCTCTAGAGTGACATCAAAGTCGCTGAGTGTCCAGACTCAGGTCGCATTAAAAAAGATCCGATCTGTATCGTATGGAAGTGGCCCAATTACGAACTGGAAAAGATCAGATTCCATGTGACTTGGCCTGTTCACTCTGTTATAAAAGGATCACATCTGAGTCACATATGAGCAAAAAAATCGGATTTGGGTCACATTGGCCTGCAGTCTGAACATAGCAGTTTAACTGTCAGCCACTTCTGATGACTTAAAACCACTACACCCAGAAATTCCATCATGACAAAATATCAGTACTGTTCATTGGTGAACAGAAATAAAAATGCAGCAAAAATTTTTTTTCACAAGATCAGCTGCCAGCACAGCAAGAAGGTGGGGAGAGGAGGTGTGATAGACTATATAGAGAAGGGAAGAAAGCAATCTATCATTCAATCTGTAAAGAATTTGTCAGACTGGAGCACCAAGTAAATGCTCCACTTCTGATGCCTCAGATTTCAGTATGCTGTAATTGTAAATTTGATGTGGAAACAATTGTACATGTATTTTTGTTATTGATTTAAGTTTACTTTCCAGGATGCCTCCAGTTTTACACACATTTGGATTTTTACTGCTTGTGCTTTCAAGTAAGCCTGACTCAATGTTATCTGACTTTACTCTATAACGTCTGTGCCACATTGTGTTTTTCGTACAACTTTGGTATTTTTTCCAAAAAAACGCATTGCTTGAATTTAAAACTTTACCTCAACGATGACATGAACTGACTTTCTTCACAGGCAAAGTGGAGAGTGTTACCTTTAAACAGTCCTCTTCTCAAGTTGTGAATGAAGGGACTGAGAAACTCAGGATTACCTGCAGTCATGATGACAGCAGTCTCCAAACTATGCTGTGGTACCAACACAAACAGAGCAGCCGGTCTATGAGCCTCATTGGATACACAGTCCTCACAGGTGAACCAAGCTACGAGGACCAGTTTAAAGGCTCCAGATTCCAAATAAAAGGAGAAGACACAGGGAGTGGATATCTGATCATTAGCGCGGTGAATCTGTCAGACTCAGCTGTGTATTTCTGCGCTGCCAGCACACAGTGATGTGGTTTAATGTCACTGCTTCACTAAAAACCTGCTCCGACATGGAAACTAATAACAGCTGTTACTCAGGGGTTTAGTTATTTGAGAACTGAAAGTATTATGCTGTTAATTGGGGCATGATTTATTTATAGTATTACTAATAAATGGTACCTTAATTATATGATGAAGTAACTGAACATGTAGCTTGCATTTTTGCAGTAAATAAAATGCAAATGTTTTTATATCATATATATAACAATGTACCAAAAGCTAATCATGTTTTGTTGAAAGTGCACTAACAGACAATTGTGTCACCATAAGAACTGTAATATGGTGTAACTAATAATGTCAAAATTGCATTCACTAAAAATGTAACATCTTGTAAGATAAGAAAAAAGCAATAGCTGTTCAGCTGCATTTCATTGCTGTGTTTCTTCACTGCATTGGAGTTGTCTGCTTAAACTTTTGAAAGAACCTTATTTACTAAACTGGCTAAAAATGAACATAAAACTCTAAATCTTAAAAATCTAAATGAGAAATTAAAAAAGAGGTTGTATGCTGGCCGCGACCCTGTACGCAGGATAAGCTGTTGAGGATGGATGGATGGATGGTTGTATGCTGGAGGTAATGTACACAAACACTTAAAATTCTCAATTAACAGTTTAACAGTCAGCCACTTCTGAAGACTTTATGGCTTAAAACCACTACACCAAGAAATCCATCATCACAAAATGTCAGTATTGTTCATTGGTGAATAGAAATAAAAGTGCAGCAAAGAAGAAGAAGCATGCAGATTTTTTTAAGGAAAAGATCAGCTGCCAGCAGAGGAGGTAGGTGGGGAGAAGAGGTGTGATGTATAGAGAAGGGAAGTTCATAATCTCTCGTTCAATGTGTAAAACGTTTGTCAGACTGGAGCACCAATGTATTTTTGTTATTGATTTAATTTTACTTTCCAGGATGCATCCAGTTTTACACGCATTTGGATTTTTACTGCTTGTGCTTTCAAGTAAGCCTGACTCAATGTTTACTCTGTAACATCTGTGCCACTGTGTGTTTATCATACAATTTAGGTATTTTTTCTAAGATTGCAAAAAAATGCATTGCTTGAATTCAAAACTTTACCTCCACAATGACATGAACTGACTTTCTTCACAGGCAAAGTGGAGAGTGTTACCTTTAAACAGTCCTCTTCTCAAGTTGTGAATGAAGGGACTGAGAAACTCAGGATTACCTGCAGTCATGATGACAGCAGTCTTCCAGTTATGCTGTGGTACCAACACAAACAGAGCAGCCGGTCTATGAGCCTCATTGGGTACACAGTCGGTGTAGGTGACCCAAGCTACGAGGACCAGTTTAAAAGCTCCAGATTCCAAATAAAAGGAGAAGACACAGGGAGTGGATATCTGATCATTAGCGCGGTGAATCTGTCAGACTCAGCTGTGTATTTCTGCGCTGCCAGCACACAGTGATGTGGTTTAATGCCACTACTTCACTAAAAACCTGCTCCGACATGGAAACTAATAACAGCTGTTACTCAGGGGTTTAGTTATTTGAGAACTGAAAGTATTATGCTGTTAATTGGGACATGATTTATGTATAGTATTACTAATTAATGGGACCTTTGATTAATTAAATGATGAAGTAACTGAACATGTAACTTGTGTTTTTGTGGTAGATAAAATGCAAATGTTTTATATCATGAACATGACAACATACCAAAGCTAATCATATATTAAAAGCTTCTTTAAAAATATAAAGAAAGCACATTGTTTATTAAATAAATACATAAATGCAGTTTCTTTAGTGCATTATCAGACAACCGTGCCACCATGAGAACTGTAATACGGTGTAACTAATAATGTCAAAATTTCATTCACTAAAAATGTAACATCTTGTAAGATAAGAAAAAAAGCAATAGCTGTCAAGCTCCTCTCCTGTGGAACCAGGTTCCAGTTTGGGTTCAGGAGGCAGACACCATCTCCACATTTAAGAGTAGGCTTAAGACTTTCCTCTTTGATAAAGCTTATAGTTAGGGCTGGCTCAGGTGAGTCCTGAACCATCCCTTAGTTATGCTGCTATAGGCCTAGACTGCCGGGGGATTTCCCATGATGCACTGAGCTCCTCTCTCCTCTACTTTCTCTCCCTCTGTATGCAACCTTATCCCATTTTTGCATGTTACTAACACAACTTCTCCCCTTTCTGGTAGTCTTGTGCTTTCTCGTCCCTCTCCTCTCTCCTCCTATCACTTCCTGCAGGTTTTCTGGCTCTGGAGCTGTGGAGTCTGGATCTGTGGCTGCGGGTCACCTGCTGCCCCCGTGTTCCTGCTCGACACCCTCTGCTGCAACGACTATTGTTGCTAGTCTTATTGTTATTATTGTTATTATAATCATTAACATTACGATGGTTACCATTAACACTATTATAAATATCTGTACCATTTTCATTTAGTCTATAGCAACATCACCCTCACTGTGTGTACCTCTGTGTGTATATTGTGTAGGCTGCCTCCCTCCCCTCTCTCTCTCCTTACATCTCTCTCTCCTTACATCTCTCTCTCTCTCTCTCTCTCTCACCCCAACCGGTCGAGGCAGATGGCCGCCTACCCTGAGCCATGGTTCTGCTCGAGGTTTCTGCCTCTTAAAAGGAAGTTTTTCCTTGCCTCTGTCGCCTAGTGCTGCTCTTGGTGGGAACTGTTGGGCTTCTGTAAATAACATCACAGAGTACGGTCTAGACCTGCTCTTTTATGAAAAGCGCTGTGAGATAACTGTTGTTGTGATTTGGCGCTATATAAATAAAATTGAATTGAATTGAATTGAATTGAACTGTTCAGCTGCATTTCATTGCTGTGTTTCTTCACTGCATTGGAGTTGTCTGCTTAAACTTTTGAAAGAACCTTATTTGCTAAACTGGCTAAAAATGAACATAAAACTCTAAATCTTAAAAATCAAAATGAGAAATTATGAAGATAAAATTAAAAAAGAGGTTGTATGCTGGAGGTAATGTACACAAACACTTAAAATTCTCAATTAACAGTTTAACAGTCAGCCACTTCTGAAGACTTTATGGCTTAAAACCACTACACCAAGAAATCCATCATCACAAAATATCAGTATTGTTCATTGGTGATTAGAAATGAAAGTGCAGCAAAGAAGAAGAAGCATGCAGAAATTTTTAGGACAAGATCAGCTGCCAGCAGAGGAGGTAGGTGGGGAGAGGAGGTGTGATGGACTATATAGAGAAGGGATGATAGTAATCTCTCATTCAGTCTGTAAGAAGTTTGTCAGACTGCAGCACCAACTGAATGCTCCACTTCTGATGCCAGTTATGAGCATACTGTAAATGTAAATTTGATGTGGAAACAACTGTAAATGTATTTTTGTTATTGATTTAAGTTTACTTTCCAGGATGCCTCCAGTTTTACACACATTTGGATTTTTACTGCTTGTGCTTTCAAGTAAGCCTGACTCAATGTTATCTGACTTTACTCTGTAACATCTGTGCCACTGTGTGTTTATCGTACAACTTTGGTATTTTTTTAAGATTCGAAAAAACACATTGCTCGAATTTAAAACTTTACCTCCACAATGACATGAACTGACTTTCTTCACAGGCAAAGTGGAGAGTGTTACCTTTAAACAGTCCTCTTCTCAAGTTGTGAATGAAGGGACTGAGGAACTCAGGATTACCTGCAGTCATGATGACAGCAGTCTCCAAACTATGCTGTGGTACCAACACAAACAGAGCAGCCGGTCTATGAGCCTCATTGGATACACAGTCCTCGCAGGTGACCCAAGCTACGAGGACCAGTTTAAAAGCTCCAGATTCCAAATAAAAGGAGAAGACAGAGTGAGCGGATATCTAATCATTAGCATGGTGAATCTGTCAGACTCAGCTGTGTATTTCTGCGCTGCCAGCACACAGTGATGTGGTTTAATGCCACTGCTTCACTAAAACCTGCTCCGACATGGAAACTAATAACAGCTGTTACTCAGGGGTTTAGTTATTTGAGAACTGAAAGTATTATGCTGTTAATGTATCGTATGATATATGAATTGTATTACTAATAAATGGGACCTTTGATTAATTATATACTGTTTCGTCACCCAACCTAAAATACTTACAAAGTTTCACTTTCAATATTGAACCTTTTTTTCTCATGATGGTGTAAAAGCTGTTCCAGATGTGTTGACAGAATATTAAATTGGGGTAATCACTAACTGTTTGACATTTGCAGTATTATATTCATGCAGTTAAATGTCACTGAATAACACCACCAAATACTGGCAAACTCAATTTAAAAATATCAGATCAATTGAGTCTCACTAAAGATGAGCTTCCATGCACCTGACGTGTCAGATGAAAATCAGTGAGTGAGAGTTATTGCTGCACTTCCCCTCTAATCATGTGATCATAGGAGCATGTGACCTGGTGTTCCTTTGTGCCCAACAGAGTGATGTTTGCATCACTCGACTGGAAGAAGGCTTATCACTAACATGCTTGTTATAGTCTTTTATCTGTCCCTTCTTTTATACTCAGGTGGGTTTTTCTGTATAAACTCATACGCTCACCACTTGAAGGATCAGGTTACCATCAAATGTACATCTGAGTGAGCTCACTGTTCACAATCAAACATTATCTTTCATTTACTGCAGGTCTCACTGTTATGATTCTTCAGACTGGAGATTTAATTGCTCACCCAGGAGTCAAAGTGGACATTCAGTGTAGCATAGGTGCAGGCTTCAGCATGAGCAGCTACACTATGCTCTGGTACCGACAAAACCACTACGGCGCGCCAATGGAGTTCCTCCTTACAGAGTACGACAAAACTGCGGGGCACTTTAAGTCGTCGATTGACGTATCCGAAGACAACTTCTTTCTTCAGATTACAGAGCTGCAACTGAATGACAGCAGCACCTACTACTGTGCTGCCAGGCACAGTGATGCACACAGACCAGACAGTCACACAAATAACATGTCTGTCACAGATGGCACCCAGGCAGGAAGGAGCTGTGGCTTGTTCCTGTTGTGGTTTGATTATAATCACAGTGGAAGCGGAACAGTGATAAGATGTTTTGATGATAGTCAAAGCTTCACGATTTATATTAACATAACTTAGTAGTGATAACACTGACATACCATGCCAGTGTTGGGCTTTCATTTTTAACATCAGATAGTTAGTTAATGCTCATTGTGATGTATTCATGCGCAAATGATAAGCAGGTAAAAAGATTGTGCTGTCAAGCCTTTTTTAGGACGTGGTATCTGGCCAGCTGATAAATATGAATGTGGGCAAAGACCATGAGCAGAGAGATTGGACCATGCAGTAAGTAGCTGAGACTGTCAAGTCTATTTGTATAGCCAAATCAATCAATCAATCAATCAATCAATCAATCAATCAATCAATCAATCTAAATGTCCCTCTCTTCTGCCCTCATGGTGCATGTAGCTGCACAGCTATGCATCGAGCTAAACACACTTCCAATAAAGATTGAAGACAGCAGATTGCCTTAAAGTTTTTATTGGAAGCAACTGTGAAAACAGTATCAGACAACAAATTAAATGATAGTTATTACAAATCTATTTTAAGCAGTTTATTAATAAATATCAGATTAGGAAAGCGTTGAGTTGGGGGAAAGTCCAGAGCAGTGTTGGAGTGGAGCTGATCCTCCTAAATATTACACACTGGACCTTTAACTGGACTTGACGGACGGTGTCGCTTCAGCTCAATGACATCATGATCTAATTGATAATTAAAGTCATTGGCAACTAATTTCATCATCAATTTTTGTTGATTAATCTCACCCCTACTGTGTATGACTCAACACTCTGGTGGGGACTGGAGGTGAGGCCTGGATTTATGAAGGGGAGCTGATTGGCTTGATCACGGTCAGGCCAGGTGTGTAGACTGCAGATCTCAGGCAGGTGAGGGAAGACTCCAAACCAAGAGAAACATAGGTAATGCCCACAGCTGCCAACTGGGAGGGATAGATAGAGGAAGAGAGAGGGAGGGAGAGAGAGAGGGAGAGAGAGAGAAAGAGAGAGTCCATCCATCCATCCATCCATCGTCGACCGCTTATCCTGCGTACAGGGTCACGGGGGACTGGAGCCAATCCCAGCTGGTATCGGGCGAAAGGCGGGGTACACCCTGGACAGGTCGCCAGAGAAAGAGAGAGTCATATATCCTATATCTCCCATAACAGTGGAGATAAATCTGACCCCAACAACTACAGAGGGATTCAAGTGAGCTGAAATCTGAGGATTCTGTAGCATTTTAAACAACAGAATATTAAACATCCTAAATTAACACAGTATCTTAAGTAAAAACTAAATTGTCTTCTTTCCAAATCATCACATTACAGATGTGATGGCCCCAGGGCCTCTGCCAGGTTGTTTGTGTGTGTGGCCCAATCCCAATGTCCCCCCTAAGCCCTGAACCCTCACAGACTTTACTGACGTCACTTGGAAAGTGATTGAGTGCAAGAGGCTGCAAGGGCTCAAAATGCTGTTAACAGGAACGGGACAGCACTTTGCCACTTTATCACGTTACCTTGACGACGCTGAATTGATAGATTGCATAAAGCCCGCCCCTTCCTGATTGTTGCGGGCCTTGACTGCTTGCTTTTTCCTGGTCCCCAGCACCACCTCTTGTTGCTTTGTTGTGCTTTCATTCATTTAGTTAATCTGACACTATGTTTTGCCAGCCACATTTGTTAAGCTTTAAAATGACTTGTTATATTTGTTCAATTTAACTACTTTTGTTAATAAACATCCTTTTCCGGTAGTCCCTTAAGTATGGTTTCCTCTATTTGTTGTGGCCTCTGAGCCACAGACCAAATTTTTACCCTTCACACCCTCAGAGAAAAACATGTGCATCAAACAAAAAATGGAAAAATATATTTGCCTGTTATTTGGCATTTGATTCAATTTGGCACAATGAAAAGGTGTACAACATGATCAAATCAATATACACGGAAAACAAGTGCAGCATTAAAATTGGTGACAGACACACTGAACATCCAGAGGAGAAGCGTAAGGCTGTAATTTGAGTCCCACACTTTTAACATCTCCATAAACCAATTAGCATTGCAGTTGGACCAATGTACAATGCCAGGATTCCCACTCCAAAGTGGAGTAGCCAAGTCTCTGTTTCATGCAGATGACCTGGTGCTGCTGTCCCCCACAAAAGAAGGACTACAGCACAAGTTTGACCTCTTGGAACAATCCTGCCATATGTGGGCCCTGTCAGTATACATCCAAAAAATTGCAAATGAACAAAATGAAAAACAAAATGCTATGAAAGCACCATAGGTAACACCACCCTAGATCACACAATGAACTATACCTAGCTGGTCCTAAACAGAGATTAAAAGGCTGGATGCCTCTGTACTGTCAGAGCTCTCAAGCAGAGGCAGCTTTTTACCAAGTACGGACTCAGTTACCCTTGCAAATGAAAAAGGGAGACATAAAAAGGCCTGGTTACCAAGAGAATATAGAGTCTGTGAGCACTGTGCAACAGGTGAAGTGGAGACAGAGACGCATTTTCTCCTGAAATGTCATAGATAAAAGCAGAAGAGAGCAACTATTATGATAACTGATTAATGCTAAATGTTTGCTGGTTATGACTTCAGCTTGGACTGTTTTATTCCATTTCATAGACTAAATGATTAATTGATAAAATTATTGACAAATAAGTTGCCAATGAAAGAAATTGTTGCTATCCTGAACCAAAGTATAGGACAAAATAAAAATTTGACCTTATAATGGTGCTAGATAAAAGTCGGGGAATTACCAACATTTGTGCAATGCATCCAGTGGGGACATGAATATCTGGAGAAAACTTCATTGTAATCCATCAAGTAGTTGTTGAGATGTTTCACTGAAACCACGAATGTCAACCTGATTGTCACATAAGAGGGAAACTACTACCACTACTTTTTAAGGTACATCATTTGTAAATCATGTACAACATTTCCATCCATTCAATAGCAGATATTCTGCTAGGGTGGCTAGAACGGTGAGATATACATTTTAATTATCTTGCAGAAAGTACAACACAGTAAACTCATTTTATTGTACAATTTTAATTGCTGATTTCTAAGTCTGATTCAGCAGTTCAAAGTCTGACATTTGCAAGTGTTGCAGTAGATTTGTTGTAGGTGCAACAATTACTATAAACCCTCCTCTAAATTCTGCAGTCACAAGCTCATGCTTGAACAAGAACCTGCAGTTGCTGTTCAGCGGCCACTAGGAGATTGTAGCTGTAGACTGTAGTCTTATTTCAGAAGTTTTGGCTGTAGCAGAACAGTAACATCCACCAGCAGATGTTCGAGCTGAAGACAGAGCTGTGATTGTGAATGTAGATGATTTTTATTGACACTAACTGTATGATCAGTGTGAAATGAGGCCACTCTTGGTTGCAATTCTAATCTTCATCAGTAAGAACTTTTAAATTCAGTTGAAAAGAAATCAAATGTTTTTGTTGTTTTAAAAAAAAAGATGTTGTGAAGTTGTTATTTACTTGTTGTCTTCATTCTTACCTTACAGATTCCACCGCTGGTGTTAAAGTTCTCCAGCTTCCATTTGTATTCAGTCGTGAAGGAGACCCAGATGTAACTTTGCAGTGTAGACAAGATGATGATCAATATTACTACATGTACTGGTACAGACAAAGCAGCAGTGGGAAAATGCAGCTATTAACATATTCTCTTAATAAGGATTCGGCCAACACTGAAGCTCCTTTCAACACATCCAAGTACACCATGTCCCGGCCTGCAGTGCTCAGTTCCTCTCTGCAGATACACCGTGCTGAAGTGGCAGACTCAGCTGTGTATTACTGTGCTTCTAGTATAGCACAATGTGACAGAAAGCCTCAGCAGCTTAACAACAACCCCAAAAACAATCAGTGAGGAGATGAAAGGGATCAGGAATGAATGAGGAGGCTTATGGTGTTGAACTCTGAGGTGCTCTGAGCTGGATATTATTGACATGACAACATATTACCTTAATGATACATGAAAATATATTTAAAAAGTTGTTAAATAAAACAATAAGATTAACAGTTAATTCATTTAAGGTACAAGAACTGCTTCTCTACAAGTCATGATGTTTCTGCTACAATACCACACAGCTGATCAGTTCAGATAAGTGAGCAGGTGTTAACATGGTAAAGATTACTTGTCACATTCAGTATTATTGTCCTGTACAGTTTCTCTAATCTGTGTCATTTAGTGCTTTAGTCTCTGCTATTTTATTTCTATAATGTCCATCCTCACAAGATAAACGCATGTCAATTTAACAGGTTATCATACACTGACCTCTACAGGGATCATATGGGATTACACTTAAATTGAAAAAAAAAGCTAGCTAAATAATTAGTTGTGTTAAAAAAGTAATTGTTGCATGACATATAAGTGACCTGTGCAGAACCACTGTGACATAACATTATAGAAGTTCTTATGTCTCATAATTACATAGATTTAAAAAAACATAAAAGGTTTAATTTTAAGGAGGCGCACAGTGGTTGTACTACAAATCATTTGGTTAAAACATTTCTCTAATTTATATTCTTATATTTATACTATTTATCTATCTACTGTTTTTTTTACTATTTCTATTCCTTATTCCTTTGACAAGTGTGCAGTTGTGACAAAGAATTTCCCCTCAGGTATCAATAGTAAAAAAAGTATTTCTGATTCTGATTCTGATTTTAAGAAATGTAGAGTGTAACCAACAATCAGTACTACCCTATGGTTCTTTAAAATTAATTCAGTATGATCAATTTAATTTGTTTATTTTATAGCAACATAGAACATCCGAGAATAAGCATAGAATATACATTGAATGTATAATAATGTCACTCATTTGCAGTGCTGGAGTGTACCCAAGTACATTCATGTAAGTAAAAATTTGAGGTGAGTATTTTCATTTACATAAAGTAAATGAAAATAATGGATTTATTCCTTTACTCCACCACATTTCAGAAGGTGATATTGTACTTTTTACTTCGCTCTATTTATTTGGAAGCTTTATTTCGTGTGCAGATTCTCTTTATTATTACAAAATAATCAATAAATAAATTGTGATGTTTTATTGAGTTTGTAAAGTAGTTAAGATTAGCCCCACCTTTGCCAGCTGCAACATTAAAGTGATGTTTACATATTGATGTAGCAGTTGTTATGATCCATCATAGATCATATATTTCTGATTCTGAAATGGGCTGTTCTGCATACAGAGTAAATGTATGTATATTTGATGGGAATACTAATACTTTTGCTTAAGGAAAATTTACTATTTTTTACTACTTCTACACTGTGGGGCTACCACTTTTGCCTAAAACATTTGAAAAAGATTGCTTCACCATGGATAATATGCTCAGCTTGTCCCTGACTGGATTTTTTTTTGTGTGAAAAGTTTCAAAAAACGGTGAAAGAAAGAAATATTTCTGTAAGAGAGAGTTAAGGGGGTTTAGAATAAAGAATCTACTACAAGTATCTTTGAAAAAACATCATGCCTACAGTGTTCTTATCCTCTGATAATGTTGAGCCTGAGAGATCCTGTCATAACTTGTCAAAATGTTGTGAAACTTATATATAAAAATGACACATGCTCTTCTTCTTATCAGTTATGAAAGGAACATTTTTTGCATCATAACTTAAATATACACCAGTTATGATGTGATAATAAAATTCATTGTGATAATTTGTTGAGAAGGAATAAATTGCTTTTAAGACATTATTTAAAATAAAGAAAGGAGTGAAGGATCTGTTACACCATTTTTTAAAGACTTTTTAACTTCAAAAAAAATTAACAATTTAAGGATCACCTGCACATCAGTCACATCTGCCAGGGAACATGAACTCAGTAATGTGTCTCCTCAGTTCACTGACAACTGGGTGGATAAAGAGGTGTGACCAGCAGTGATGTCACTTCCTCTCAGGAGCAAAACACACAAACAAAGACCAGCTTCTCCTTTTCCTCCCCTCTGTTCTTGCTTCTTTTCTTAGCTGTCACAGAAATAGCAGCAGTCAGGTTGGAGCCCTAAAACCAGTCAGTCAGCGCGACCTGTGCAGCTGCTCTCACAGACAGAGAGAGATGGAGGCTGAGATATGGAGAGGCTGGGTGGGGGGAAGGAGAGACGGGTGAACGAAAGAGTGTTCAGGTTTTTGTGTGACGCTTTTTCATCGTGGGGACAGGGGGCCACGGTGATACAATCCTATAGAGCCGCCGTACAAAAACCTCCTCCCATTAAAACACATTGTGTAAACTGCTACATGCTACCTGGGACACTTGAAAGAGCAGGAAAATCAAAAATCTGAAGGCCGATAGGATGGCAGGACACTTTGGCATCAAAAAGTCAAATTATATACAGAAAATCTGCTGGAAAAAAGTTTTAAAAATGACTTTCAATTCATATGTAGAGCTTTTGAATGCTTCTTTAACTAAACCAGAATAACTTTGGACATTGTGAAGCTCATCCTGCAGGTTTAAACCTTCTTCATCCTCTGGATTATTAGACCGTCTCAACATGCTGATTATGAAACATTTTGTGACTTTTTGGTAGAGGAGACATTCAATGTGACACTGGATCTGAAGCTCACTTTGGAAAGGGAACAAAACTCACTGTTTTGGGTAAGTCGGAGCGTTTTCACCTTCAGTTCACTGCAACAAACGTAAAATAGATGAATTGTTGGTGTGAAAGTGAAGGAAAAAACTGTTGTTAGGAAAAAGCTGAAATATTGAGCTGAAGTGAGAACACTGTGACCTACAATCAGCCTGCTTACTTTGGCCAAGGAACCAAACTGACGGTTTTAGGTAAAAAAAATTTGATTTATTACTGTATTTTGGTGAATGTCACTTTGGTTTAAAGACTTAAAATATGCAGAAGTATTAGTAAAAACATTCCAAAGATAATTATGGTGGAGAAAGACAAGAGTTTCATGCTCAGTATTTCTGCACTGTGACAATGTAAACGAAGCTTACTTTGGAAAAGGAACAAAACTCACTGTTTTAGGTAAGTCAGAGCTTTTGCACCTTCAGTTCACTGCAACAATCTTAAAATAGTCAAAAGGTTGGTGTGAAAGTGAAGGAAAGGCTTTTAAAAAACCTGAAGTTTTGAGCTGAAGTGAGAACACTGTGACCTACACTGAACCAGCTTACTTTGGCCAAGGAACCAAACTGACCGTTTTAGGTAAATATTTCAGTTTATTACTGTATTTTAGAAGATGCCATGTTGTGCATTAGAGTCAGTGTTAACAGAGTACTAGTAAAACCTTAAAACTTATACAAGGATAATTCTGGTAGAGAAAGACACAAGAGTTTCATGCTCAGTATTTCTGCACTGTGACAGTGGAAACGAAGCTTACTTTGGAAAAGGAACAAAACTCACTGTTTTAGGTAAGTCGAAGCTTCAGCAAATTCACTTAACTGCAAAAAAACTTAACATAGCAGAATTGTTGGTATGAAAGTGAAGGAAAATGGTTTTAAAAAACTAGAAGTTTTAAGCTTAAGTAAGAACACTGTGACCAACACTCAGCCTGCTTACTTTGGCCAAGGAACCAAACTGACGGTTTTAGGTAAATATTTCAGTTTATTATTGTATTTTGATAAACATCACGTTGCTTTAGAGTCTTAGTGTAAACAGAAGTATTAGTAAAAACGTGCAGAAGATAATTCTGGTAGAGAAAGTCTTGTGAGTTTTATGCTCAGTATTTCTGCACTGTGACAATGCAAACGAAGCTTACTTTGGAAAAGGAACAAAACTGACTGTTTTAGGTAAGTGAGGTGATTAAAATTGGAAAAATGTAATAACCTTTGTAATTGGAGCAGTGCATTAAGAATCATCATGTACTCGGGTCTTCATACTTAAGTTTCAGCCAAGTACTTTTTTATGTCAAGCTTAAGCGCTGTGCTAATGCTGAAGCCTATTTCGGCCAGGGAACAAAACTGACTGTTTTAGGTAAGTAAAGGGTGATTAAAATTAAAAAATGTAGTAAGCTTTGTAATTGGAGCAGTGCATTAAGAATCATCATGTACTGGGTCTTCATACTTAAGTTTCAGCTAAGTGCTTTTTGATGTCAAGCTTAAGCGCTGTGCCAATAGAGAAGCCTATTTCGGCCAGGGAACTAAACTGACTGTTCTTGGTAAGTAAAGCATTGAACTTTCTTCCGATTGATTCACCCCTTACAAAGACAAAAAGTAAAAGCTAAAGACGTTAAAGTAGGTCTGTTGTCAGGGGAAAAAGCTTTGTGTTGCTTAAAACTAGACTGCAGAGCAGCAAATGTTTTAGATTTAAACAATAGTGAAATTTATTACAGTAAAAACTGAAAAGCAACTAAATGTAAAGAAGCAAAGTAAAAGCAGCATCTTAAGATATTTTGAGCACTGATCAAGTACACCGTGACACTGGTGCTAATGAAGCTTACTTTGGTGGAGGAACAAAGTTAACTGTTTTAGGTAAGAAACACATATTGTATATACAGTCCATGATAAAGTCTGTGTTGAGAAATTAGAACAAATGTATTCAGATTTGTAATTGGAGTAGTGCATTAAGAACCACAATGCTGTAGTTCTAGTTTAAGATCAGCTAAGGGCTTTTTGACGTTAAGCTTAAGCTCTGTGCCAATTACGAAGCCTATTTCGGCCAGGGAACTAAACTGACTGTTCTTGGTAAGTACTACATCAAACTTTCTTCTGTTGAATTCATCTGTAAGAGAAGTAAAACATATACAAACAGGCTCCTTGTTGAGGGAAACGGTTTTGTGTTACATTAAACCTGTAAAAAACAGACGCAGTGTAGTGAATGTTGTTACTGGGATTGAAGAAAACTGACATTTAATACGATAAAGTAAATTTAAAACCAACCAAAATGTAAAGAAGCAAAGTAAAAGCAGCATGTTGGGCTGTTTTGAGCACTGATCAAGTGCACTGTGACTCTGGTGGTTCAGAGGCTTACTTCGGTGGAGGAACAAAGTTAACAGTTTTAGGTAAGAAACATATTTTGTATATAAAGTCTATGATAAAGTAGTTGGTAAGAAATCAGAACAAATGTAAAAAGCATTGAATCTGGAGTAGTTGTTTAACAGACTTATGCACTCAAACTCTTCAAAGTTTAAGTTCAGCTCAATGCTTTTTGCTCTTAAGCTTAAACGCTGTGTCAGTTTGAAGCGTATTTCGGCCAGGGAACTAAACTAACTGTTCTTGGTAAGTAACACGCCAAAATTTTGGTTTTAAATTAAATTAGATTCTTTACAAAACTAGAAGAAGCAAAGTAAAAGCAGCATCTTAAGATGTTTTGAGCACTGATCATGTGCACTGTGACTCTGGTGGTTATGAAGCTTACTTTGGTGGAGGAACAAAATTAACCGTTTTAGGTAAGACATCAAACAAATGGGAAACAGCAATGAAATTGGATGTTTATTTAAGAAACTTTCTGCACTCAAGTCAAGCTTAAGTTTAGATGTGAGGTTTTTGTTCTTAAGCTTAAACGCTGTGTCAGTACGAAGCCTATTTCGGCCAGGGAACTAAACTGACTGTTCTTGGTAAGTTAACATGAAGCCTAACAGGGTGGTAACTGAGAGGTTTGTGTTGAATATGTGTGGTAAAAAGACAGGCTGTAGTTGTTCATTTTAAAGGAAATTACAAACAGAAACTAAAGAAGCAAAGTAAAAGCAGCATGTTCGGTTGTTTTGAGCACTGATCATGTGCACTGTGACTCTGGTGCTGGTGCAGAGGCTCACTTTGGTAAAGGAACAAAGTTAACTGTTTTAGGTAAGAAACTGTTTTAAAGTTCATTAAATATTGTTCAGGTATGATTGTGTTAAGATGTTGTTGAGACTTTAAGGCTCAGACAACTGATAAACACCAATGGTTTACCCGTTACTGTAGACTTAAAGTGCCCCAGATAAAGAGAGAAAGTAGGAAGAGGTTTTGTTACAGTTGAAAGACTCTGTGCTCCTACAATGAGGCTTTCTTTGGAGCTGGAACTAAACTCACTGTTATAGGTAAGAAATAACCCTGCAACAAAAAAAATCTCAGAGCGTGACATACAGCTATGTTTGCAATAAAGTAAAAAATCTGTATTAAAAATGTACTTTTAGACCTTGTATTTAATGCTAGTAAACAAAGTATTTTCTTTCTAAAAGTGCAAAACGAAGTCATGGTGGAAGTTTGTGCTAAACAAAACAAGCCTGGTCTTTGTTCTGTAGCAATAAAACATTTGGCTCTACGCCCAGATTATTACTCTCAGAGCAAGTTGTTATCAGCTCTGTGAAACACTGTGAGTTCACAGTCAGAAGCTTATTTTGGAGCTGGAACTAAACTCACTGTTTTAGGTAAGATGATTACTAAAACTAACACAAAAATAAATGTTCCATAGGATATAATGGCAAACTTGTTGGTAACTACCGGGTAGAGATGAGGGTTGTAAGTTTATTAAGTTTAATACTGTTAGCAATTCAGACAGTTAACAGCTTTCAGGGCTGACAGTTTTTCTGTAGCCTTTGTATCAGTGTGAACAACTACGACCCTGCTTACTTTGGCAGTGGCACCAGACTGACAGTGTTGGGTAAGAACATTATAAAAATCCTACACATTATTGTTTGTCTTCTGACCATCTCTAAACTTCAATCTGAGAATTATTGTTGAGTTTAGGCTTGTAAAAATTGCTGTTTAAGGTCTTTGTAATTTCCTGAAACAGCACTGTGTTGCTGTGTAGGTCTGTAGTCGAATCTGCAAACTTTAAATGTGTGATTTATCAACTGAGATAAGTCTCTCTGTTCTCTGGAAAAAAGACTGTTTGGTCTCTGTACCAGACTCACTCCATTTATTTACAACATTTTCTCAGCTGCTAAACGGATTGTGAAGTTTTGTGTTTTCTTCCTCTCATCAAAAATAAAGGGATAATGTCAATTTAAATTAGATTAATAAGTCTATGAGTGGTATCCAAATGATTCTATTGTATATGTTCTGGTTGGTGAAAAACTACAATGCTGTTTAAAAAAAAGGGAATTCAGCTACTGAAGATCAGTTTTTTACATGCGAGTCAGTGGTGTGCTCAGGCAGTTATCCTGCTTATTTTGGAGATGGAACCAGACTAACAGTTCTTGGTAAGATCACTACAACAAAACCAAAAATTTATCTGAAGAAATTATATTTTAACGGCATTCAGCGTGAGCTCTGAATGATCATGTTTTACTTTGGTGTTATGTTCAGTGTGAAAAAGTTCTCCTGTGTCTTTTTGCACCTCGATGTTCACGTCTAAATTGTGTATTAAGATATGACATGTACATCACTGTTAGGTATTACGCATTGGTTTCCTGAAGATCTACACGCAGCTTTTTTAATGTGATTTATGTCCTTTGTCCTTGCAGAAGATGGCCATAAAATTACCGCACCAACAGTAAAAGTGCTTAAACCTTCGAAAAACGAGTGTCGAAACAAAAAAGACAAAGAAAGGAGGAAGACCATTGTTTGTGTGGCCAGTGGATTCTACCCAGACCATGTCAGTGTGTCCTGGAAGCGTAACGGGGAGGATGTCACCAAAGGTGTGGCGACAGACAACGCTGCCCTGCGGGATGGAATGTTTTACAAAATCACCAGCAGGCTGAGGGTCCTTGCTGAAGATTGGTTTATACCCAACAACCAATTCAGTTGCACTGTCAGCTTCTACAATGGCAGTGATAATATCAATTATACAGCGTCAATTAATGGTGAAGAAGGTATGTGTTCATTTGGAACTCAGAAATTACCTAAACATGATCTTTTTGCTGCTGGAAATTCATGTAAATAATCAATTTAATTTGTCTAATCCATTTCTTAGCTAAAAATACAGGAACCACCATAACAAGAGGTAAATATATTATTTTGTGTTCTCAATTTATCATCACACAGAAACATTTAGTGTCCTACATATTTGAAAAAATATGCACATGATAGTAATCATTAACATATATGTAACCTATGTTGTATATGTAACCTATATATGTAGGTATATATAAAAAATGTCTCTGGATATGTCTTCGTTGAATCAATTCACTTATATAAATATTTGAACTTTCTGCAGAGCAATATTTGAAGGTCACACAGACTGGCAAACTCTCCTATGTCGTTTTCATCATCAAGAGCTGCATCTATGGAGTCTTTGTTGGGTTTTTGGTGTGGAAGCTTCAGGTTTGTTCTACACAATGTATCATGTGACTTGTTTCTGCTGCTTATCATGTTTGATTTACTGCACTTGACATAAAAACAGACCTTGTACATTTGAATGTGAAGGAACAAGTATGAAAAGAGCTCATGACATTGTGTCTTTTCTGTCTGTTGCAGGGTTCAGCTGGAAAGCAGAACATCTGAGAGATGACCTGAACAAATAGATTCCTGGAGATCAATAGTGTCGGTTTCTGTAAATACAAGGTTGAAAACATGAAATTATATTTTCATGACTTTAGATGTTGCACTGCATTCGTGTTTGTTAGTCAATCAGATTCTGCTAAAATAGTTCTGTACATATTTTTGTTACAGTCTTAAAGCTAATTTGGCATCATACTTGTATAAATGGTTAATTCTGTGTTTGTGGTTGTGAATCGCTTATTTGCTTAATTTTCTTCTCAATAAAAGTGTTTCAGAGAATCTTGTTTACCATGTGCTTGCATTTGTTTAGTTTGTTTAGTGACTAACTGAGTTTCATGATTCTCATGACATCTCCAGACAGAGAAACTTTATTCACATTCAGTGTATTTCTAAACCAGAGAGGTGCGTCGGTTGATCTAATGTTGCTCTAAATTGTTGCCAACAGTGCTGATTACATGTGGGCAGAAACCATCCTCCCCTCAGCGCTCTCATATCTTATCCTACACTGAACATCACTTTTTCCACAGATAGTGTGAGGTATTTTTAGCTGCTCACTTATCTGCCTAGTTTCTGAGAAAGAAACTATTTTTCACCAACATTCTTAACGCTGGAACATCTTAGCTCAGAAAAACTTCACAAGCTCTCATTTGGTTATTAACAAGTTTTTCCAATGAGAAAAACTGAGAAGTGACTCAAGTTTCACCAGTGACATTTGATTAATAAATTAAATTCCATCACCAAATCTGTTTTTCAACATCTTTAAAGAAATCATTTGACCAGATTAAAGTAAGTTCATTTAATTCATATCTAGTTTTTCCACTTTGCCCAAATGAGAGCAGTGTTTTACAGTTTACATTCTCTTGATGAATAAAGAAGTCATTCCTTTAGTTCAAACACTGTCACAAGGAAAGTAAATGTGAGAGAGTGAGTCTACCGCAGAACAACAGGAAATCAACATTCTCGTCTGTGTACAGAAGAAGGTCAAAGCTGTTGTTGGAGAGGAAGACAAACTGGGGCTCGAAACCCTGCAGAGGAGGAGAGCAACAGCAGAGCAGAGGATGTGGTCACAGAGCAGCTTGCAGATCGTTCTGTGCTGAGAAATGACAAAGGTGCAACCTTCCAATTTACCACAACCTCCGGCTCGCAGGGTGCACCTGCATCTCTGCACTGCACATCTCTGAGCAAACAGCTGGGAAAACTTCCATTTCTGTGTCAACTGAAGCTACAAAATGAACCTATATGCGTATTATATTACATACAACAGCTGTTTACGTTGATCTGGTGCAGAACATTTAAGCAGAGCATGAGAGTGATTAATGTTGTTGCAATTACCAAGATTAAAACATTATCGGCAGACTTTAGAAAATCTTTAAAAACGTGTGTAAACGAGTGTTTAATAGTTTTCTCATAATTTTTAGTGAACCCCTGAGATATTATACGGACTATATGTGAAGTAGTCAAACATCAGAAGTGTAGTTGGTCATTTACTAAATGCTTCTGTCCAAACAGTCTCTCATTAATACTGGAGGAAGAAGAACTCAGATCCTTAATTTAAGTAAAAGCAATACCACAGTGTGGAAATATTAAAAGTAAAAGTTCTGCATTAATAATTTTACTTAAGTACAAAAGTATTATCATTAAAATATATTTAAAGTACCTGAAGTAAAAGTACACAATATATAGAATAGACTATTTCAGAATCACGTATACAGAATCACATATTATAGATTATTATATATTAGATTATAATTATTGATGCAGTAATGTGTTCATCATTTGCAGCAGGTAAAGGTGCAGTGAATTTGAAATACTTTAAACACGGACTAGTTTATGAAATAATCAAATATTTTTTGTTGATTTTATTTTGTTGAATTAATCTGAATCTGCAAAATAACTCAAGTCAACAAATAAATGTATTGGAGTGAAAAGTACAATATTTTCATCTAAATTGTAGGGGAGTAGACAATAAGGTAGCGGCAAATGGAAATACTCAAGTACCTCAAATTGTATTTAAGCACAGTACTTGAGGAAATGCACTTAGTTACTTTTCACCACTGCTCATAAATATTTTTTTTTACCAGTAAAGACCCCAGTGGGATTCAAAATGACGAAAAACACTTTCCACATTCTCCATTTGTTGCCTTAAAAAACATGTTTGTGTTCGCTGGTGTCAGATAAACAGGAAATAATGTTGGTGAGACCGCAATAGAAACATGGTCTGACATCTGTGAGCTACATAATTATATAATCACATACAAAGCAGTATTTGTGTCATGCAATACTGATGGAGACGCAAGTGAGTAGGCTACTTTTTCAAAGTTAGATTGAAACTGCAAACTTTCTAATTAATTAAAAAACACCAACTATGGAAAAATCTGTACTAACAGGACTACGTGCAGTGCAAAACAGTACACATTATTTGTTACAAACCACATTATGTGATGCAAAAACTGCATTATATGCAGTCTGAGACACAGTAAATGCTCTCTTATAAATCTGAGAAGTTCATATAGGAATTCTGTCTTGGAGCAGGATTAGAACTGTGGTTCTGTACGTAGTCAACACAGCACTGAGCTTAACCAGCAGAGTCCAGGATGAAACACCAGACTAGTCTTAATGCTAACCTTTTACTTCTGGTATAGATCAGGGTTTTCAACAACTGCACAAAACAAGAAGAGTGAAGTTTCCACAAAGACAGGCATGTTTAAATCTCCAGTTTCACCTTAAAATGATGATCATCACATTTATATCTACAAACCTGCAACAAAACAAAAATATGTAAATATAAAGCTTCTATGTGACATTTAACTTTATAGACTCTTCTTGATACTTGGCTTGAAACCTTTGAAAAAAATGTATTCGCTTATACACTCACTGGCCACTTTATTAGGTACACCTTGCTAGCACCGGGTTGGACCCCCTTTTGCCTTCAGAACGGCCTTAGTTCTTCGTGGCATACTTTCAACAAGTTGTTGGAAACATTCCTCAATTATTGCATTACACAGTTGCCACATCCCAAAGGTGCTCTACTGGATTGAGATCTGGTGACTGTGGAGGCCACTGGAGTACAGTGAACTCATTGTCATGTTTAAGAAACCACTTTGAGATGATTTGAGCTTCGTGACATGGTGCATTATCCTGGTGGAAGTACCCATCAGAAGATGGGTACACTGTGGTCATTAAGTGATGGACATGGTCAGCAACAATACTCAGGTAGGCTATCATGTTTAAAGAATGCTTTATTGGTACTAAGGGGCCCAATGTGTGCCAAGAAAATATCCCCCACACCATTAACCCACCACCATCCGCCTGAACGGTTGATACAAGGCAGGAAGGATCCATGCTTTCATGTGGTTTACGCCAAATTCTACCATCTGAATGTCGCAACTGAAATCAAGACTCATCAGACAAGACAACGTTTTTCCAATCTGTCCAATTTTGGTGAGCCTGTGTGAATTGTAGCCTCAGTTTCCTGTTCTCAGCTGACAGGAGTGGCACCCGGTGTGGTCTTCTGCTGTTGCAGCCCATCTGCTTCAAGGTTCGATGTGTTGTGCGTTCAGACTTGGTATTCTGCTTACCTTGGTTGTAACAAGTGGTTATTTGAATTACTGTTGCCTTTCTGTCATTTTATACCAGACTGCCCATTCTCTTCTGACCTCTGACATCAACAAGGCACTCACTGGATATTTTCTCTTACCGGACCATTCACTGTAAGCCTAGAGATGGTTGTGCATAAAAATCCTAGTTGATCAACAGTTTCTGAAATACTCAGACCAGCCTGTCTGGCACCAACAACGTGCCATGTTCAAAGTCACTTAATTCCCATTTTGATGCTTGGTTTGAACTTCAGCTACCATGTGATTGGCTGATTAGCTATTTGTGTTAACAAGCAGTTGAACAGGTGTACCTAATAAAGTGGCCAGTGAGTGTATAATTAGTGGAACATCTATGACATCAGAAGGCCAATTTTGCACAGCAAACATGCACAGGTGTTATGGCTCTGTTGGATTCAAACGTCTCAGTATTCAGCCATCATAGATTTTATTATTTACACCTGTGATTTTCCTTCTATCACATGTCAAATGTCTTCAGTAGAAGAGTGAACTACAAACAAAGACAACAAAGCTTCCATTCCAGTTTCACCTTGAAACCATCATCCTCACAATTACATCCATCCATCCATCTTCATCACCTTATCGCGTCAAGTCACAAGGGCAGGTGCTCCAGCAGGGGACACCAAACCTCCCTTTCCCGGATATATAATATATAGATATATAATCTCTCCACCTTGTCCTGGGTCTTGCCTGAGGCCTTCTCCTATCTGGACGTGCCTGAAACACTTTCTTAGGGAGGATCCAAGGGGGCATCCTTACCAGATGCCCAAACCCCCTCAACTAGCACCTTCCAACGCAAAGGAGCAGCACCTCTACTTGGAGTTTCTCACAGATTACTTGGCTTCTATAAAAAATATACAATACCAAAAATATGCTCACTTTTGAACGTAACTTACTTAACAGTCATAGTTTACAGTTAAATAGTGATTTATCTGTTTGATGCATCTTAGAGACTGTTTCTTGTACTGCTGTACACATAAATTTCCATGTAAAGACTCAGTAAAATATGAGTAAAATATTCCCTTCTCTCCTCTCCCATCTAATCAAACCTAATATTAGACAATTATCTTCCGAAGGAGGTATTTTCCATCAACAGATATAAACCCCTATTAGATAATGTTCTGAAACCTTTGAAAGAAATGATGTTGCTCATATAATAACGAGTGTAACATACCAACAGTGTCTAGATGTGTGACACCAGAAGCCTAATTGATGTAACTGAGAAATCATCTGGTGTAAATTAGCCTCGACCTCAGCACCTCTCCATCCTGGTGATGGTATTAAAGTAAAATTGAGCTAAGATGAGCTGTTCAGCGACCACAGATTTCAGTGAAATACTGGCCTGGTATTGGTCAAATAAAATTTGAAACAGTAACTTAAATATATTTAGAAGTGTCATGTAATCTAAGACACAGTTCAGCAGTGAGATTCAAAGAAAAAGTTTCACCCAGATCTTCAGTATGAAGCTGCTGAGTGAGACATTTCATTTGTCATGTTGAACGACCCCTGGTGGTGCAAACTGGAAAACACATGTGTAGGATTCACCTCCAGTAATCCGAACCACCAGGAGCTTTTATCAAAATATTATTTTTATTATCAAATACTTACATAAAAATAAACAATACGAAAAGCAAATACAACATTTTTATCAGTGAGATGCCAAAATACTGATTAAAAAAAGAGCAGTGGTCAAAACAGTTCAGCAGAGATGGAATCATTTCACATGTGATGGGCTTACTGGGTTGACATGTAAAATCCATTCAGTGACCTGAAAGTGAAATCATAATAATTCTCTAGAAAACAGAGAATGTGTGCAGTAAGGTCCAGTGAGTAAATAACTTATTTTGAAAAAGTAAGAAGACCATTTATCACAGTCAACAGACTTTATAGGTTTACACTGTACGTTTAATTTTAAGGCCCCTGTTTAATGTTTCAGTGTTTATAGATTTAACCTCATCTATAGTAATCAGTCCCTTTTTCATTGCATTCTTGAATTGTGGTTGTGAACAGATATGAGTGTTTTGAGTCCTTTTGGCAATTGCAGAAGTTCGGTGTTGGAAGGTTTTCAAAATGCAGTCCTCCAAAACTCACCTGTCCCCTGTCGTCTCTCCCACCCATCCCAGAGTTTTTAAACCCTCTGCGGCTTTAGCCTAGCCGACCAAACCTGTCGTTTCTCTGCAAATGCCTGGTACAGCTGGCACAGCAGAAACTGGAGTAGTATGAGTTGGAGCAAAGTCGGGCGTAAACTATCAGCTCGCAGTTGGCAAGCTCAGGCTGGTCCACGCATTCTGGCGGCACATCAACACCTGCAACAGCAGAGTTGAAAGACAGTCCCATTTAGACTTGTTTTTGTGAGTCATAAAATAAGTTCAACACACCAGAACATTGTGTGGTGTTCTGTAGAAGTAAATGAATCTCGAAGTGACTACATCAAGCTAGGTGAATCACAATGCCAGTCTTTTACACTTTCTTTCTGCTTGTTTGTTCACCTGCATGGCACAGATCTTGTCTATTTTGTATTACCTGAAAAGGATTTTCCAACATTGCTGAAAACATATGCCTCGTTAGGCTGATTCAGATTGATGCCCACATCTTTTTTTCAGTGATTTAAATACTTGTAGTCAGAATAACGACAAGGCTCAGTCTCATTATCAGGCTATGGCATTCTTATTTTTTTTTAGAACCAATTTTGTTGTCAAAATCATAGTTTAAACCAAAAGAAAACAAATTTTTAACTAGATATGAAAGCTGAAGACTGCTTTCTAAACGATGGCATCTAAGAAAACCTGGTGACTCTGGTTCAAACTATGATTTTCTTCATATGTGTACTGTATTGCAAATGAGAACATAAAAGTGTAAGGGTGGCTGAGTTAGATTATTATTCCTACCTTGATGTGTGTCTTTAGTGACTCTAACTTCAGCCGTGGCACTCACAGAGTAGATGCCAGTGTATGCGTTACAGGTGTAAGTGCCCTCATCTGAAGGCTTTACGTTATTCAGGATCAGGCTGCCGTCGGAAGACACCAGGATGTTACGACCGTCTGGACGCACTGGTACACCATTTCTGCAGTGACAGTGAAACAATTGAAAAGCCAGTTAAGGCACATGAGCTTTGTGAACCTTTTACTCCTGTTGTCTACGAAAATCAGTTCACATCAACCTCAAGTGAAGAAAAAGACTTCCTTACCTTATAAAATCCATGTTTTTGTATGTAGAAATTCAAGTATAGTGTTTGTTTTTATCTACTGGATGTTCTTATAAAGTAATTTAGATATTATTTTTGAGAAACTGTACAGAAGAAATGATAATTTTATTATTATCATTATTAATATATGTTATATGTTTATGTGGGTTCATGAGTGATAAACTTTGTGATCACGTACATGTTAATGAAAGCAAAAGAAACATATGAATGTTATGGGGAGTTGGCTTTTAAAGTTAACTTCCCATTAATTTTTTTTATTTTGGCAGACAAATATCACCTGAATATCTTTCATATATATAAAACCCTATTAGCAAAGTATTTTTTTTTTTATTTTGTCACTTTTATATCTTACTTTTAAACCAAACTCTGTAAGTGCAGTTCCTTGCTGTGCTGATTATTCTTGGGCCCAAAATAAAGGATCAATTCATCATCAGGTCTAACACAATAAATACTTGAGCTTAAAAATGCAAATTATTACCTGGACCAGCCTATATTGACGTTGTCCCCTGACACCACACAGGGGAGCAGAGCTGTGCTGCCTTCAGACACCTGGATGTTATTAGGAGCTGTGGTGATCCTCAGGTCAGCTGGACAATAAAACAAGAAAGCAATGGTGATTTATTCCAACCTGAAAACCCTCACAGGTTTACACTGAATTATTTTGGATAACCCCCCAGAGGAACACTGCTGTATATCTTAAAGATATCCAGCTATACTGACCTCTGGTGGTGATTTATTGAAAATACAACATCCGTAGATGTCTGGCAGTCACAAGGAACACACAGTTCTAGTGAGCGTGTTTACAGCTGCATGTTCTGTGTTTAGCTTGATGACAGACATTAAGACATTAATTAAACTTACCTTGGATTCTGAGCTGCAGCTGTTTCTGCTCTAGCTGCTGCTGAGTGGAGGCTGTACATGTGTAAACACCAGAGTCCCCCGGCTTCAGAGAGCCGATGATCAGCGTGCCATCTGAATGTTTGGTATACCTGCAACCATCATGATCCAATAAGAAACTCATGCAAGTGTGATGTGGAAACATTCAGTGCACATACAGTGGGAATAGACTTTTCAGTGAAGTAGGAGACAACTTATTTCTAGTAGTTAGTAAACTGTTAATATTTGCATATTCATTGCATATAAGATTTCAGCTTAATCATATTTTTTTTGTAACAAGATCATTTCTTTGACCAATGGAATACCTTGCACATCAAAAACTTTTGTTTTTCTCTAGACAATTCCTTCACATTCATGATGATGTACAATGATAATTACCTTGAGTCACTGAGGGTCTGTCCATCTTTAGTCCACTGAATGTTGACAGACTGAAGTGCTGAAGGAGGGACAATAGTGCAGGGCAGTCTGGCAGTTTGTCCTGCTCGCATTTCCAGCAAAGAAGAGCTTGACCGCTCGATACTGAACCTGAGAGAAATTACAGGTACAGAAAGCTGATGTCAGCGACTGTTTCATCATTTACAGCTTCACACATTTAATGTACATCAGAGAGGACACTGGAAAGACTGCAAAGTATTACTAATACTGTGTGAAGAGAAAGAGAGATTGTTATTACCGAGGGAAAGGAACATCTCTGGGCAATGAGGTAGGAATCAGCTGAGATGATCCCTCTATGAGACACAAACACACACGACTGGGTGAATGCTCCTGTCATAATTCACTCACACATCATGTCACGTGTGTAAAGACATGGTGGTCAGCATGTTCTGACACAATCTATGACATCATCTATGACATCAAGGCTTTGCCTCAGTCTTCTGGATTTTCGTGTGACAAACTAATTGGGGTTAAAGTGGGTCGAATTAAGATTTGACCGAATCTGGCCCCAATTAGACGATTGTACACCGGGTGAAAGTTTTTTGGAATTTACTGGACAATCTACACTCTGTTTATATCTATGCAGGTTTTTAATCTGTAGATAGAATTAAAAAATGTAGATTTCTTACAGTATGATAAAAAAGATAACAAAATGTTGAAAAAAATTTTCTTTGTCCATATTAAAAAACAAGCATAAATTTAGAATGACCAAGACAAAAAGTCTACGGCACAGCGATGCTTAAAGTGAAATGCCAACAATGACAACGCAAACATGCGGATGTTTCGCCGGTGCAATGTCCACCATGTTCACCACCGAGATCTGCTTACTAGCACTAAACACAAAGTACATCTGAGGCTGATGGGAATGTAATTAGTATTACAGGTATTTTATCAGAGGCAACAAAACAATCAGTCTTGGCCTGATGGCAGCGCCAGAGGAAAAGTCAGGGGATCACCAAAGTTATTCCAGCTCATTCTCTGTGCACTCTCAGTACCATATTTCATCCATCCAGTAGTTGTTGAGATATTTCAATCATATACAAGAATTATTCTATGATGAATCTACTAAATACATCAAACTATTTCGTACAGATTCACTGCATTACCTGTGACAGACAGGTAAATGTAGCGGTGGTCTCTCTCCTGTTCACGAGTTGCAATGCACAAGAACCAACCAGAGTCTGACTTAGTGAGAGGACCAATTAACAGGGAACCACTGGGCTGCTGGTGATGCCTAAAGAAAATGCAAGCAAAGAGGTAAAGCACACACAATGAAAGAAAGCAACATTAAATGGATATTAAGCCGCAACTGACCTGTGCGTAGACAGAGGGATGCCGTCTCTTCTCCACTCGACAATGACAGTAGAGGATGGTGGCGGGCTGACTCTGCAGGGCAGCACCACTGTCTGGCCAACTAAAGCTTCCACTGTCGAGGGGTCGGTCTTATCGATGGTCACTTCTCCGAGGGTCAAACTGAGGAAACAGGAGGGGATACAAGGATGGAAGGAAGGAAGGAAAGAAAGAAGGAAAAGGAGGCAGGCAGGAGAAAGTTGGGAAACAAAGAAAGAGAAGATTAAAGGGAGGAAGGGAATGAAAGAGTCACTTTATGCTCTACTGTTGGTACTTTTATTAGTGGTCACCAAAGCAAGCATAAAGATCGCCCACAACCTGGCTTCAGAAGTTCAACAGAGAAAGCTCAGAGAGAAAAGACAGGGAAGAAACCCAGCTATGGCACACATGCAAATTGAAAAATGACGAGACAAACAATGCAACCTTCACCCAAAAAACAGCAAGTTCTGTGTGTTACAAATCCAAAAAAAAGTTTAAAATCAAAGCTGATGGTGTCACACACAGAGACAAAGGATAATTTCCCTTACACCAGAAACAACTAGATGACAGGGTTTAGTGATTACACACATACAACGACACATGAAGCATCACAGCAGAACCTTTATTAGTTTGGATCTAATGACATCCTGGTGACAACACAAAGCCCAGAGGTGGTGGCGACTGACACAGTGAGGTAGCAGGCACAAATAAGCACAAGACGACAAACATTAACTCTAGACAGACAGTGAAAAGTCCCCGAAGCATTAAACAGAAGAGCTGTCCATTTAGGATCGCTGTGAGGTTGTCAACTTCTCCAGATGTTTTGTTGAGGTTAAAGGAAGAAACAAGGTGTTGCAACTTAGGCAAGCGTGAGAGCGACAGTCTGTGGAGCTGGACGTACAGTAGCATCACTAAGGTCAATTTAACAAAGCAAGGGTTTTGATTATATTAGCATCACAAGATTAATGTGCATCTATATACGTAAAATTAAGCACATGTAACACATGAAATATTGTGTTGTACAGATAATAAAAATGGGAATGGCTGTTTAATATAACGTCTTTAAAGAGTATCTTAACACCAGGTTCTTTCTGGTTAAATGTTTCAGATCTGTTTCTCTGACTACAGCCACCACGTCTAACAGTGATGTCATGATGACTGACACACCCTGAAGTACACTTCTACGTCATAGCAGCAAGGTGAAGCGTTAAATCACAAGGTCAGATTTTCACGGGTGTTAAGTTACTCTTTAAGTTAGATGATTTTATCTCAAAAGCTTGGCTATTAATTTAGTCTTTGATTTCTCTTGCTTTTTACAATTACAGTTGCTTCATTAGTAATTTTATTGATTACACGACATTTTGTCGTATTATTACGTAATTCTGGATCTGGTTTATATAAATTTAGTCATGTAGGACTTGCAGAATAATGCAGGCTGGGAATATTTGTATACATGACACAATGATAAACAACATAAACGTCATTATAATACTTTGGGGAAAGTGAATGATGCACATGATTTGTCTGTGCATGGTGTTTCAATCTCCTTCAGCTCACTCTTTGGCAGAGCTGAGTGGATTGGGGCTCCTTCAGCAGGGGTATAAAGGCTGTTAACAGCATTATGAGGCGGTGCTGGGGCAGGGAGTGAGCTTTTCGCCATGCTCCCTGGGTCTTCAGGATCTTACCTCGCTGCTGGGACGGTGTGCTGGGCAGCAGATGCAGGTGAAGGCCGGCGCACGCGCATATGGACTCTAGCTCTGTGGGCATGGGTGGCGGCACTTGTGGCCTGTCTGCCGGTGCCGCTGGTCGAGCCTCCCTGGACTGTGAAAATCCTCCCCATGTTGCGTGACCCCCTGCCTGCTGACCCTCCAGATGCGGTGCCTGCTTCAGACACGGTGCCTCCTTCAGATGTGGCCCTTCCAGGGGTAGATTCTCTTCTAGAAGTTGGCTCTCCCGCTGGAGCGACTGGCCCCGGACCCTGTTGGCTTGGTGCAGGCACCTGGCACACCCTCTGGCACTCAGCCCGGGACATGAAGTTGTTACTGTTACCGTGGCAACTTCCATACCAGAAGTGCACACACTTGGAGGTGATGACGTCGTAGTGGTAGCGTGATATCCAGTTGCTGCAGGAGCCGGCAGCACGAGGCAGGGAGCAGATAGAGCGCTCAACTACAGCAAGGAAACAGAACGGGCAAAGTTATTTTCTGTCAGCACATCCCTCAATCACTGGCAGTAGAGCTTCTAATTGGCCAATAGAAAAAGACTGTGGTTCTACTACACAGATCCACATAAGAATTAATACTAGTTGATGACAAAGAGGTAGGAAAACATTCTCTTCACAAATGGGAGATAAAGAACACAAAAAACAGAGATTATTGTGTAATAATGTATTTGCAACTTCTCAGTCCCTTACTGTGATTGGGTGGGTTTGGGCAGCCCTCCCCGTTGGGCCCTACAGCAGGTGTGGTGCGGTCATAACAGCACCCGTAGGTGGTGGTACGGCACTGTGCTGCATTCTCAGTGGGAACAGAAGGAGCAGCCTGAGGAAACATGACATGACACATTAGAGGAATGGCGTTTTAAAAAAAAACTTGCCACATAGTTTTTTGTGTATAATGTTTTTTCTCATTGATGCCTATTAGCTGGCACTAGCTGGAGTTTAGGAGATTTCCTCGTCTGAAGTGCTATAACTGCCATAAAAACAATAATAAAGGAAATCAGTGAGGAGAAATTGTCTATGCCCCCAAAAGATTTACAAATAACATTTTTCTGCTGATGTTTCTGAGATGTTTTTTTCTAAGGTTTCATTCTGGGGGACAATTGATACCTTTCAATAAGCAAATATCTCTTACTTTTCTGGTCGACCAAGTCAGAACATTTCCAGCACTGTCTCCCATATCATATATAGAATAGTTTGTCTAAGCCAGAAAACATATGAAAAAACATTGCTTACAGTGGGTGCAGGGGCCACATACTCCACGCAGCCCTCCTTGTTGGGGCCCTGAGCAGCCGTCACTCTGTCTCTGCAGCAGCCGTAACTGACACACAGAACAAGAAGGGAACAGTACAAAGAATAAAACTTTTTGTACAGAAAGTTTATGCCAAAAATAACAAATATGTGCTTCTTTGACATTTCTAAGAAAACCTCAACCTCTGCCTGGTCACTTAGGGGTAGTTAGTGTGGTCATGTGTAATGCCAAACAATCTCTGGTTAGAGTGGTCACACAGTCATGAAAGTGACACCCAGACAAAGGCTCTAAAACGGACTTTATATATAACCTCAACCACAGTGTAATGTAAGGTTGGAGCTGGATACCTGGTCTGAATGCATGATGGCTGGACAGGACTGGAAGCTGGGGCCCGTGGGCAGCCCAGACCCTGGGGGCCTCCGGCTGAAGTACGTCCATCTGGGCAGCAGCCATAATAGGACTGGCTGCAGTGGGGGGCCGGGGCGGAACTGTGAGGGTCGTGAACCGTGTTTGTCTGGGTTGGGTCCGTCTCAGGCCTGCGGACTATGATGAAACCAAGTGGGGGATTTCACACATTGTACATGCAAACTAGACCTCCACAGTTCATGGCTACACAAAGCAATAGAGAAGTTCACACATCGCTTTAGAAAATTTACAAAAGAGTCTAAGCTATTGTGCTTGAGGCCACACAGTCTTCACAGGAAGCTAAAACACAAAAGCATGCAAATAAGAAAAGAACTGCTACAAAACAAATGCATATAATTATAAAAAAAAAACAGTACTTAACTATTTGTTTATGGAAATATAAAACAGGAAACAGCGGAGAATGAATTGGAACAATGAATAAACAATCTCACGGGGAATGAACACACACTAGACCTCAAACTTGAAATTCGTGACCACTGGGACGGTGCAGCAGAATCCCAGAACATGCCAAAAACACAGCAGCCAGCACTTGCACACTTCAATGCTTTGGAAATATTTTAAGTAAAGCTGACAGTGCCCGTGGACCCCTGAAAACATGTCAATCAGGCCTGGATAATTAGTGCTGGGACAGGGACAGGACGGGGGGAAAGGGTGGGGGGGGGACTAATGGGCACAAAGTGACAGGAGTTATATCAGCAGAGAGGAGGGGTTTAGGGGAACTGAAGGGTAGCAATTATTAGGCTGCCATCACACCTACTTTTTTTGTTTTCTTTGGGCCAAATTGTAATGGAAAAGGTTTATTTTTCTAGAAATATGTTGCAGTTATAAATGTTAATCTAATCTCCTGTTAATTAATGTTTAGTTGATCTTTCCCAGAGAGTGAGTGGTAACTGTCATTGGACAGGTTTTGCTGGTGAGTTAAAGAGTTACTAAAAGAGACAAAGTGAGAACAGAAAAAAATGTTTTTGCAAAGAAAAAGAAAAAGCCAGAAAGGTGGAGGAGAATACACACCAGCCAAAATCATTTTTCCCAACTTGGCGAACCAAAAGGCTTCATTATTAATGCTGATATTAAATCATTGATACATTATTTTAATCATTAGTAAAGCAGTTACCTCCAGGTTATTAACCCCTTTATAAACTATGAACCTTTAGAAAGTGGTACACAAATCCACTGTCAGTTGATGCATCTTTAGCCACAGTCTGACAGTTTTTGCTCTGTGCCAATTCAATTATTCTTGACTTTTTGAGTAAATTGCAGCAGCTAAAATGGTATCTCTATCACATTGCACACAAAATTTTTGGGCTGTGAACACATCCTTAGTTTCATAGACAAACCTGTTGCGTGATCTGGCACATAGGGCTGGAAAACAGTCTGTGTGTTGTCGTGTCCTCGTGGGTCCTGAATGCTGGGAACAACTGCACAAAGAGCAGGTAGAACAAACACAAAACAACAAGAGCTCAGTACACAATGTAGGTGAGTGGATGAATTATCTTGATGAAGACCAAATTGTTGATGCTGTAATATGTTTTCCCTTTTTTTGATGAATTTTCAGCAGGTGACTGTCTGTTCAGTGACGCTAACTAGTTCTTACTGGTTCAGTCACTTATTCTTTACCCTAGAAATTATTTACAGAGAGAAAACTTCAATTTCTATCCTCCAGGATTTTTCTAAAGAGAGAGCTGCAGAGATATTTAGAACATTTAGTCTAATTAAAATGTCATTTGAAGTACAGCAAAATATATATATAACACTGCAATATATTAAATAATATTAAAATGCAATATTTTAAATATTATAAATAATGCAAATTATGCAGTGTAATGTTATGTGTTCACTCTTGCAATACAGAATAAGTGACAAAAACAACAATACAGCATGAAAGTATATGTTGCAGGAGCAAGAGGCCTAATTTAGTAGCTTAATCTGCATGTGGTCACCCTGTGGGCTGTAGCAGGGCTGGGTGTTGCACCGCTCCACTGTGGAAGGTTTGGGATTGGCGTTACATTGGTCCATTGGGTACAGGTTCCTCTCTTGGTCTGAGCAGATCACCTGGCGCTCTCGTGAGCCGCCGCCACAGCTCGTTGTGCACTGGAGGATAATGGAGAGAGAGATTATAACCAATGAAAACTGCCACAATAGCTGCAGATGAATGTTTGTGTGTTTGTGTTCCTGCTCACCAGTCCCCACTCTCCGACGTGCCAGCTGATCTGTTTCAGGCAGGCCGCCATCTCACAAGGTCGGACAGCAATTGGACGGAGCAAAGTCCTGCAGGATGTTTCCTCCAGCCTCATTCCTCCTGAACCAACACAGTTGACTTCCCTGGTCTGTTCACCTGACCCACAGGTCACTGAGCACTGCAAACACAACAGCACAGATTTTATTTCTTTCTTATTTTCTTAAATGTTGAGGCCTTACAGTTATATTGTTTGATATCACTTCAAGTGCAAGAAAAGAAAAAAAGTCAAATCTGAACTAAAAATTGCAGCTTGTATTTCTTAAGAGTCTGTTATTCCATCCAGTGCACTCTAACTTGCATTTAGTGTTGTTCTTCAAGGCTTACATGACTTTTCAGATTTTCTTGGCTTCCCATGTAATCTTGGTTTTACATCTTAGAATTTTGCATTGATGATTACATTTAAGTCAGAGATCTAAGCATCTGTTCTTCCTTCTTTTTGAAAAGCCCTTAAAATTTAACACCATACCGCTGTTTTAAAGACATTTTCAAATTCCACAAAGATTTTTATTTCCAGCTGACGTGAAGTACATTTTGTCACCTACCTAAATAAATTTTTTCACCTGTTTTACAAGGTTTACAATCTAACCCAAAAAAGATAGTAGCAAAGTCACAAAGCCTCATTGCTTGTCTCATTTGATGAGTTTATTATTCTTTTTTCACTTATCTTCACTTTCACTTGAAACAACAGTCAATCTAGTTGTGCTAAGCTAAATGTGCTAATAAACATAGTATTGTTGTATTAAGTATGAATACAGAACGGTGCAGATTTTGCACCAATTTGATACAGCCCATTAATTGCTTATTATTGGCAAATTGTTTGTTTAGTCTGAATCACTTTCCCCTCTCTGTGGTCACCAACGTTTTGATTGTTCACTCACCGCGCTCCATCTACTCGCACGATACTCTGCACACTTGTGCATGTTGCAGGTCTGTAGAGTGGGCGGTGCCTCAGCGTAGGCGGCACAAATGGCATCCTCCACCACGCGGGGGCCCGAGGCATCATGGGAGACGCACTCCACTCTGCGCACCTGAGAGCCTCCCCCGCAGGTAACTGAGCAGGTATTCCACTCACCCGTTCTCCAGCTGGGAAACCCCCCCGGGAGGGAGCGGAGACCATAAACAGAGGTCAGAAGATGTAGTACAGAGAAAATGTTGAGGGTTTCATTCCAAAATTTTAAAGAAAAGTTCTTGTCTGGTAAAAGAGGGGGTGAATATTTCTGAGCAGAATCAATATGACATAGAATATGATGTGGGCATTTCAAAATCTGGGGAATCTAGAGCATCTCAGTTAGCAGAGATGGTTTTCTATTGAAGTCCAACTTTGTATTTCTGCCCAGTGACATGGGAACTTTGATATAAATGCTTGTGCAGCATTAAAGAGCAACATAACATCTCCTGATAATCTTGTGTTTGGCAGACATCCAGTGGTTTAACTTCTCACCTTGCTGGAGTGAAGGAAAAGTTCACTCCAGGATCCCTTACAGATGCAATAGACACACTTCTGACCAGTGACCACAAAAAACACACAGAGCAGAGATGCTCAGAGATTAAACAGACAGGTAGTGAAACACCGCTTTTTAGCCTTGTGTTTTGTCCAAAATAACGTTTTTAAACAGAGAAAAGCAACATATAATCTGAGAAGCTGGAACAACATTTAGCATGTTTGCTTGATAAACAACTTTCAAAGATAAATTGAATTTTGAAATTTGTGTCCATTTATTTTACATTTTCAAACAATTAATTGATTCAAAATGATTTTAGGAATAATTGAAATCGGTATTTGAGTAATAGACAGTTTTGGAATGAAACCCTTCAAATGAAATGCTCATAAAAGGATGCATTGTTTTAACAAGACAGCTACTGAAAGAAACTACTAGACACACGATTATGTTAAAAACAACACATCCTTTTAGAGACTGCAGTGTTAAAGAAAATCCAGAAACCAGTCACTCACAGCTGAAAGACAGAAAGTATTTTTTCCCCTCCTGGTTAGTTTGAATAGACACTAAATTACTAGAAACAGGCTGGAAAGCAGATCTAAAAACCAAAATTATGACCAACAAGCTCACATTTTATCTCCCAATCTCTATTCCAACTTTAGCACACACATACTGCTTCTGTCCTTCCATGCAGTTTATCTTTCAATTGAGGGATAATGAGTGTGCATTTAGCGTCACCCGAGCTTCATAAACATCTCAGGTTTCTGAGCAGCAGCAGCATCAAAGAAAAGAAGCAGGAAATACCAGAGAGTCACTGACTGAGGCCCTGGCTCTTTACTACCACCACTGCTGCTGTGTCCCATTCAAATGCACCCAACACCCCCTGCATGACGACCTTTAACCCGTGAACACCTCACAACCCACCAGTTACATTAATGGACAGAGTGTTTTACAGTTTGCTAAAGCAATCAAGCAGCAGCCCAGCTCAGCTATCGGGTGAAGAGGCCAGAGGTTGGGAGGTTAAAGAAGTAGGAGGGCTTTGAATGGAAATCTGGCGTCAAATCACTATTCTGTCTCCATGGAGAGAGACATTAAATGTGTCCAGGAAAAATGAGGATCATTAAAAGGCTGAAAGGACATCTCTGAGCTGGACAGTTGCCCCGCGCCTTTGTTCTCGGCCCATATGGAGGAACAGGCTTTCCGCTAAACACAGATGCTAGAGTCAAACACATATGAAGGGGGAGAGTTTTTGATGGCACTTCAGTAGCTAGTAGTTAAAGGTTTTTCATTTTCCAAGTTATCAAAGTGAAAGACAGGATGGATATCAATTAAGAGAATTACTAAAATTGATTGTGCATGCTCAGGAAATCAGCGATTAGAGAAAATAATGACTTCCCCCTGTGTTTGCAGTCACCTAAACCTTCACTACGACTACAGACCCTGGGTTACCTTAATACATAGGCTCTGGGTGTTTCTGAGGGTCTCCACAACTGTGGTGGATACTGGTACGCCATCCTTTCAGACAGTCATAACACACCAACAACAGTCAAGAAGCTGTCTGAAGGTTATTTTTGTCAAAATCACTTACAATGGAACAAAAGTAACCTCTAGATGCTGTTGACCTTAGAAAGTTCCGCTAAAGTCTACTGAAATGTTACCTGCGAGTCTGTGGGCATGTATGCGGGTTGCATGTACGGTTGGTTTGTGGCCTTGGCAGAGATGCACAGAGATAATCGGGGTAGGCCTCATTATCAATGGTGCAGAAGACCAAACGAGACTGGTAGCCTAGGGAAGAAATGCAATGAGAACGGACTTGCTTGTTTTCCACGGAACAGGTTACAAAAAGCTTTAAACAAGTTCTGATCTACATTCAGCTATTTTTAAGTGTTTTTCTGAGAGGCTGACCTGATCCACACTCTCTGCTGCAGGCAGACCATGATCCAAAACTCCAGTAGTAGCCGTCTCTGGAGCGTCCATTAGGAAGATAAAATTCATACTCCACTCCTTGATTTGGCTCCTGGCTGATCAGCTGAGAGGAAAGGGTTGCAAATATAGATTAAATTTACAAAACTGAGATTCTGAGCACTCCACATTTCCTCTAACATCAAAAACCTTGTAAACAATTCTCCTTGACCACCACTTTTGTCCATGACAACTTATTTTAAGACTACTGGTCACGTTTCCATTATATGTACCATAGATATGCATGGTCCCCAGAGTTTGAATCCTAATGTTTTGGTGACTCCCTTACTGCACTGAAATGAGGCCCAAATTCCACCTTGTCAACAGCACATCTAATAATTTAAGAAATAATAAATATAGGGTTAACAATAAAATAACATAGAAAACACATTTATGTACCAAAAATTATGAATTCCTTAGATTTTAAAGACCCAGTGATCTTTCGCCTATAGCCACCCACAGGACCAATGTAACATGGTAATACCCAGTAAATCAAAGTTATCAATATGTTGCTTAATCTTTCTATTGTACATTTACATTTATTCATTTAGCTGACGCTTTTATCCAAAGCGACTTACAATTGCTATACATGTCAGAGGTTGCACTCCTCTGGAGCTATTAGTGGTGTCTATAAGTGTCTTTGTGCCACCAACACCACATAGGCTGTAATGAACCATTGTAGCCTTTACAGGACATTAACGCTTATTATTGATTATAGCTGCTTTAAAGAAAGATTTAGAGTTAATAATTGTCAGACAAAGAAAATAAATGAAAGAATGAAAGTCAAAGCTATTTCAGTGAATGTTCAGTCTTACCTCAACAACAAGGGGTTCAGTGGTGGGGCCACGGCCAATGATGGTTTCAGGGACATTGTCACCCTCAGCTCCTCGCTGATAGTACAGCATAGTTCCAGCAATCGGTGTCGCCCTGGAAAACTCAATTACCCAGTGGCCATTGAGGTAGTACTCACCACGCAGGTTCTTGATAGCTGGCCACGCATAGAGGTTACAGTCATTGTATGTACAGAATATAATCAAACATACTGCTGAATTATGTGCAAGCTGTTAAATGATTTCTTCTGATGCTCTACTAGTTTGTTTTCTAAAACGTGAAACACAAACTCACCAAGGTAGTTGCGTGTGGCCACCGTTTCTCTGATGCTGATGGTGGTGGCTCCAACAGGGATGATGAACATCTGGTTGTAGCCTGAGAAGAAAATGAGACATAACTCTTTTCACACATACAAAATACTGCAAAGTCATACTAAAAAAAAATCTGCATCTCTGACATTGCTCTTAAGAGTTTTGTGGTACCTCGGTGATGGAGAAATTTGCTGGTGTGACAAATGTGATGATTGAACACATCTGACAGTGTGTTGCCAAGTTAAAAATAACATGTTCAGCGTACCAGTTGGCAGGTCGCGTACAGAGAAGCTGTTCTTGACTCTGTAGCAGGACTGTCCGTTACCCCCACACTGCAGGCAGGGGTCTTCCTGCTGAGGAGACTCCAACATATTGTCACAGCCCAGACGCTGAAGAAGGAAAAAGTAAGGAAATATTTCATGAGCAAAAGGTTAATTTGTGCCAGAGTTAAACAGTGATATTGACCTTTCATTCATAGCAGACGTTCCTCCCTGAACACAGAAACTGCAAACTTTCTACACAGTTTGCAAAACCTTCAACAAGGATTACATATTGTGTCTCCTACGAATTTAATTCATCTTTCACTCCTCATTAGAGTCTAAGAGTTTTATAGCATAGCTTTAGTGTCCAGATGCTGTTTAGACAGTGTTCAATCGTAACAGTATAAAAAAAAAAGGAGAAATACTTACTAGAAGTGCTGTGCTTATGAAAATGGACAATTTCCAATACAGTATTAACCATCAAATGTAGTCTGTTTAGGCAAATGTATTGGTATTTGATATTGGTCTTTAAAAATCCAACAGCTGAACCCTTGTTTTTTTTTACAGAGAAGTGACCAAGCAAGAAATATATAACACAACAAAATGTGCTCAAGTCAACATTACATCTAAACACTCCAAAAGGCAAAAGTCCAATCACAAAATAGCAGTTTCAGGGGCCAAACCAATCCCAGATCTGCTTTTACAAGGTGTCAGAGACGGGAAAATCTGTGTAAACACAATGTTTCTGTGAGAGTAGCAATTCTGAAACCAAGCGATTCTGAAATCAGCTTTAAAAAAAGTAAAGGAACAACAAGGTTCAAAAGTAAGACCAGGGAACAGAGTGGATTTTGGAAAGCTGCTTCCCACAGAGCAGGTGATGAAGACATGATGACAGAGGCTAAATAGAGGAGGTGCTTTATGAGGAAAAGGTTTCTGTGATAATAAGTGTTTGACATTACAACATAGTGAAACTAATCCTCTGACGGTGTCCACTCTAATTAATGAAGTTATGCTGTAAACCAGGACTTTGTGTGAACTGAACCTCTGATTATGGCATCTTATCCCCTAAAAAGAAGTAGTTCTCCTTTAAGGTGATAAATCTGAATTTCATATAGCACACTTATGTTGGGAGTGTTGCACTTGAGAGGCCAAAATGTTCCTTTGGCTAGCTCAAGTGCCATGCTAATCTGTAATCTTAGGGCTACAGTGAGCCATAAACCTAAAACCCTGTGTGATGTAGAGGTAAAAAAAAAAAAATGCTATTTAGAAATAAAACTGTATCTCAAGAATCAAATCAAGAAACAAATGCTTTCTGACATAAAAATTCAAAAGATTATCATCTTAACAGAGCAGATTTTATTTGGACCTCTTATTATTTTACCTTTCATCTAGTATCACATGTGTGTTAATTTTCTGTGCTACCTACCTTGCAGACTCCATCAACACAAACATCCCTGCGTCCTGGGTGGCAGGGCGTACCATCAACCACAGAGCTGCGGTGACGATAGAAAAAGTTTTCTCCTCTTGGCATGCAGTTCAGCTCACAGGGGTTCTCAGCTGTCAGAGGGACATGTTTCATTTTAGAAAGTAGGTTCTCTCTCTTCTCCCCATGTTACAGCCGTAGAACCTTAGTATATGTATGTGTATCTGTATTGTACTACTACTTTTACTTTGCTTCTGACCTCCATAGTATGGGAGCCACTTGTAGCGTTTCCCCTGGAAGTCAGTCCCATCAAACTGGGAGCACTGCTCTTCACGGAAATCCCTGGAGCCCTCCGGACAGTCCTGAGTGGAACAATGGGAGGCGGCGGCGACGTCAAAGGACAGTTAAGCAGAAACACTTTCAAGTTTAAAAAAAAGTGACACATCCTATAAATAGAGATAACAAAAACATGATATATATGGTTTATTTAATTATGGCAGAAACACACTACTTACAGATGATCCTTTAATTAGCTTTAACGTTAGTTGTCATTCATCCTTTCTGACAGCTCGGTTATGGATTTATCACAGGCATAAGCATGTTTATAGGCCATACACTGATGAAATGTCGAAGAGAAAAGAGCTTAAGATGTGTTAGTTCACCTGGATGTTGCAGGAGCGGTAAGACTTGTCTGGTCCCACACAGTTGTGTCCTCCATCAGCCCTGTATGTAGAAAATGATGCATCAGTATTAGACAGTGACAGTGTTTTTTCTGGATAATTTAAACATTATTTTCTTAAAACCCACGGATGAAGTAGTTTCTCAAAGCTGAACTAAGAAGAAGGAATCTGTGACGTGTTATCTGCTATATCTTTGCAAAGCTACAAGAGTTGATGGTCTGAGTCACATAAGCCTTACATGATATATATTCAGTTGTAAGGTTGTAGTGATTTAGCTTTGCACTTCAAAAAGTTGGTGGATCAGTAAGAGACATAAAAAGGATGGTCAAAAGTGATCCAGCAGAGAACGAGATATCCTGACTTTGTTCTCTTATAGATAGGTAAAGCTCCAAAAATGCTGGATCCTAAGTTTCCCAATGCAACTGGATACTATCTTTCATGAGACCTCCCCTCTGCCTCCTAAACCCCCACACCTAACTGAGATAACCACGATGTCATTAGCAGTGTTATTTTTTTAAACAACTGTTTCCACATGCTGAGTAGAAACTCCTCATGACAAGTAAACTGACATTCATGTGTAAAATCAGGGGAGTGTCCCTTTAAGCCACAAATATGTGTTTACATCAGCCTTATTGGTGCTGTAAAAATCCACTGTTGCATCATTTCTGACTAAAGTTTCATTAAAAAACTTCATGGAAACCGTTAATGACTAGGTGAGGCTACAGTGCAAGTATGCAAATACAGACTGTCTGCGAGTGCAGAAATAACAAGTTTCAGCTCTGACATTAAGTGGCAATCGTCTTTAATCTGTGCCTGTAAAAAAAATAGCTCTCAGCAACAGGAGAAGCCTCAACATCATCACAACTGAGCCCAAAACTAGTACACCATGCACACAGCAGTGATCCGTGAGACAGGAGATTGTTTTGCCACCCTCCCTTCCAGCCATGATGATAACTCATGATTAAGTCACTTCCAAAAGTACTTGCCCTCAGGCTTAAAAACAAGAGACACTCCTGTCAGCACGCCAAAACTGAAACTAAAACATGTCCAAACACTCAGTGACATCCAGCCGTTACACCTTTTCACCTGAGAAAAGAAAAAACATTTGGAGCATCAAACATGACTTTCAATTTAAAATAAAACATAATAAAAAGGGGGGAAAAGACATTTTATTCATCACACAAAATGAAAATAGATTATATGCCATGACAAAATGACAACCTTAATGCCACTTGCAACACTTTAAAGTGTGAGTCCTATGGATGGTGTTCAGGATATTTTATACTAAACTGAATGTTGGGCAAAATGGGAGTTCCTGTAAAGCAAACAATGAGTCAATGTCTGTCTAATCATAGTATTTAAAGGTGTGATTCTGGCAAACCTGGCAGACAAGATATGACAGAGTTCATCCAAGTCCCTCTTATTTATCATTCTGCTAAAGAGGGGAAATCACTGACAGACTGTCTGACTCACTGACTGACTGTACGGACATGTTGAAAACATCATCTTATGGAGCGCCGATAGACAGATCAATGGAAATCTTCCAAACATCACTTTTCTACAGTATTTCTATCAGGGGTCACTTTATTCTGCACAGGCTGTTTCTCTTATTGTCAATATTCAATGTGAAATACTACATTTTCCTACAGTTTGTCTTCACACAAATGCAACAAAATATCAAAGAAGGTGAATCAGAAAACAGTTTGGAGATGTTCAAAGAAACAGCTCATTACAGACATGTTGTGCCTGGTGGTTACTTCTGAAAAATAACCTTTTCCGATTTATCATATTCCCTTATTGCTCTATTACTGAGGCACGCCTACATTCTACCGAGCACTTAATGGTCAGACAGACAGCAAACACAGAAAATGTTACTGATGAATGACAAATTACTTTTTTGACTGTTGCAGATCACATGCGTACGGCAGCGTATTGGGGCCATTGAGTTAAAAGTAATAATAAAGGTGTGGAGGTAATAATTTCCAAATTTATAGATGTAAATTTATTAGAAAAACACATTAAAGTGATAACTTTATGAGAAATAACCTCACAAATTTACAATAAATAAAATATAATATTCTCTGAGATTATAAAGTCATATATTTGCGAGACAAAACTCAGGAATTCTCTGAGATTAAAGTGACAAATTAATGAGAAAGATTACTCAAAAGTACAATTTTTAGTTATTATTTAGGCTCTGTACTATTAAAAGCAGGGTATGCAGATATTAATAACAACAGCTGTCCCATAAGCTACTTTCACCAACCAGCATTATGGGATACTTTCTTCTGTTTAAAGACCAAAAGCATAAAAATTGGAGAACTGCAGACGTTACACATATTTTCAAGCCCAAATTATCTAACTGTTTTAATGACTGAAAAAAAACTTTAACACGCTGATGGAAGGTTAAGTGCTGTACTTTTGAGGTACCTTGCTTGAAGGTTTCCATTTTATGCTACTTATACAACCTAAACCAGTGGCTTCCAACCCTGTTTGGCTTGTGACCTCTTACTAAACAAAATCTGTCTTGTTGTTGTCAATTGTCACGTTTCAAATGTCTGTGAGTTGCTAGCAGTTCCACCAAAGAGACATTTTTCTTCTAAACTTCTCGGAGGGTTTCATTTAATTTAATTTAATGTAATTTAATGTTAATTTGATATAAAAGTTCAAGGCCCCAAAAGATAAACATATGTAATAGTTCACAAAAAAGCAACGATTAAAGAAAAAAAACAACACACATTTATGTTGTAACTTTATTTTTTTAGATTTTACTTATGGCCTGTGGACTACTACACTTATAACTCAGTGGACTAAACTACTTAACTTTATATATAAAGTAATAAAACTAGCTACATCTTGACCAGCTACAACAGTAATATTGCTGCGTACACAGTGATGCATCAATATTGATCTAATAACTTCATATATAATAATAATCAGTCACAGGGGCCAGAAGTGCTTTTGCTTTTGATGCTTTAGATTTGGCTGCTAATACTTTCATACTTTTACTTAAGCAGGATTTTGAATGACTTGAATACGCCACTTCCCTTTTATGTGTTACATGAGGCAACATGCCGGCTGGATTCCAGCAACACGAGTAACCTTTACATACAAGCTGGCAACACCAGCAAACATGACTTTATCACTCCTCACTTTGTCCTGTTCAGTTACATATAGAGAGAAGCAGCTTTAAAAACCAACATAAAATGGTCAGAAACCCATATATAAAGAAATGGTACCAAAACACGTGTGCAGCAAAGGAAGAAGATTCTTTTAAACCGCTTCTAAAGTCTTTTCAGCCAAAAAGGGCAGATAGAAATGTTCACTCCCCATCCGATCCCCTTCAGCAGCCAACGGGCAACACCCAGCAAAGAGAAATCCTTTTAATGTTAAAGGGCCCCTCCCTGCAGTGTGTTTTTGGATGTAAGACAAGCCCACGTCCTTGTGACTTCAAGGCATTCTTTTACAATCAAGATAGAGTCTGTGCCCATGAACCTCACAATTAGCTTTATTTAAACAGGAGAAAATAACCTGTGTGTGTATTCAGGGCCTCACAATGAACTGAGATTGTTAAAGAGAGACTGACTTTGAGTTTGTGTGCAGCGTGTGTTTATACATGAGCACAGGCATGTTTATATTAACACATGTAGGTGCATTAAAAATAGATAAATACAGGCAGGAGACATACCTGAGGGTGATACAGCGTCTGGTTCTCATGGTCACACCGCTGCCACAGCTGCGGCTGCATTCTCCATACGGACCCCACGAGTCCCAGTGATCCACACTGGGCACCTGGACACAAGACAACATCAGTATGTTAAAAAACAACAACATTAACTCATGTTATAAAGTGTTTTCTTTATAACATGAGTTATAACATTATTATTTTCAGTGAATGAAGTGAGTCTTGACGATTTTGCATTGTCTAATATGTCCCTAATATGTTTCAGACACCAGTTGCCATTATACTTATCATTATGTTACTATTATGTAATGTTGCATTTAGTTTTACACAATGCAACTGACAATTGTTGATTTTTTGCAGTTATAATTGATTATTCTTCCATTATCCATCTATTAGCTACCTACTTATCCTTTAAGAGTTGCGGGGAGTTTTTTAAGTTTCTAAAAACACATTGATGTCTCAGGTTTTGGTGGCGACTTTGCATTCAGCTTTCATTGTTTACCGTGAGCGCTGGAGCCAAGAGCAGCTGAAGGATTACCAGAAGCAGGAGAATCTTCATTGTTGCCTGACAAAAGAAAAACAAAGCATCCAGATTTAGTCGCTGTGACTAATAGAGGCTATTACACATTGAGCAACTTTTTTGGAAACAAGCCAGCCTAACAGGAGAGGAAAATGTAACTTATGTGAGACACAGGCCAATAACATTGAAGAGACTAAAAGGGTTCTCTGAGCAAAACCTCTTTTTATCTGATCCAACAAGAGTAAACACAAAAAAAAAATAAAAAACAAACAGAGTATCAGCCTCAGTTTTGTATTGCCAGGTACATAAATCCGCTATAAATCAGTGTTATGTAGCAGTGATTACATAATAGATATTTAATCAGATCATCAGACTGAACAAACACGGTGAACGAGGTAACAGCATGTTCTGTGGTTTTCTTTTGGAGACACCAACCACAGCAGATAATCAACAGCTGGATCTGCATTACATAGAGGTTTTAGAGAGGGAACTATACATTTTGATGACATTCTTTCAATCCACAGAGGAGGAAGTAATCTAGAAATGGATGAAATTAGTCGATCATCTGAAAATAGCTAACAGCAATTCTGATCATTTATTAATCTTTTTTCCTTCCTGCCAAAACATTTACTGGCTTCAGCGTCTCAAATTGCAGTACATGTCTTTTTATTTAGTCTTCTGTGATAATAAACTGAATTTCTTTGAGTTTTGGGACATTGATCGCAAAAAACAAGACATTTTAAGATGTCATTATGGACTATGGCAAATAGCGATTGACATTTATCACAATTTTCTTACATTTTATGGACTAAATGATTAATGGAGAAAATAATCACCAAATTAAGTTAATTGCAGCCCCTTATAAGTAAGTTATGTGGAGTTCACATTCCAACAAAGATAACATAAGCATGACCTAATGATGTGTTGAAATGTATCTTTATTAATACTTTTTAATGCCACACCTCGATGTAAAGTGACCAACACTTTAAATACCAACGATATCATTTTCATTCACAATCTCATCACTTAATTCCTTAACTGAGCTAAAAATGTATCCTTTGTTGTGGAGAGGATGTTTGTTGGTTTTTGGTCTAATGCCTGCCTGAGAGGGAGAAAGGAGGGGGGGGGGGGGGGGGTGAAGCTGCCAAACCACCTCTGACCGTGTCTGCCATGACGACCAAATGCCCCGGCAGTGAGGGAAAGTCCCCTTTAGCCATGAACACCCCACAGCGAACAGACAAGAAGCCAGAGGGATGATTGTGTCAGAGAGGAGAGCAGAAACGTCTGATCTGTTTCACTCAAACACCCTCACTGTGCCAAAAGCCCCAAATTGAGCAACTAAATACTGTCATCGCCCCTGGGTGGTGGCAATCTACCCAACAGGTTAAATTTACAGCTCAATAATTGCACAGATAAAGTAAGATACAGTTCATTCTCAATTAAGTTGACAATTTTTTTAATCATTTAGTCCAAAAAAATATCAGAATATTGATAAAATGCAATTACAAGTTTCCAAAGCCCACAGTGATGTCTTTAAATTGCTAGTTTAGTCCAACCAGTGGTCCAAAACCAAATGATATTCAGTTCATCAAACAAAGAAAAGTAGCAAATCTTTAAATTATGAGAAAGTGGAACTGATGAATGTTTGACATTTTTGCTTGATAAATTCCTTTGAATGCCAAAATTGCTGTGGACTCATTTATTGTCCATCAACAAATCCATTAATTGATTCACCATTTCATCCTTACTGCAGCCTAATTGAATATTGGCCTTAAACGTAAGTGAGTATTAAACATTAGATAGCCTTTTTAAGTTTGGATACAAATTAGTATTTTTACAATGACATTTTTTAAAATCAAGTTCCTTTAAGACTGCGATGGACTGGCGACCTGTCCAGGGTGTACCCCGCCTTCCGCCCAGTGTCAGCTGGGATTGGCTCCAGCCCCCCGCGACCCTGTACGCAGGATAAGCGGTTGACGATGGATGGATGGAAGTTCCTTTAAGAACAATGCACGGTTTCAAATGGTTTCAAAACTGCTCCTCAGTAACACATCCACTAAACAACTACTAAACACACTGTAGACATGTTAAAGTCAACACATACTTTGAATACTGGTGATATAGAAAGCTAAGCAATAGAACCCAATCAAAGCCACTGGCTCCTCACATTTCGAGAGGCTGGCCTTTTTTTGTTAGATAAGTATCTTAAATTAATAATCAGCTACACAAATTCTTGTCTGATAACTTTATAATCATTCCATTGACTAATCTGACTTAAAGGATGTCCGGTCACACTGACATCCTTCCAGTGCAAATTATATTCTTCACCTGCATCCCTCACTTCTTATTGTACCTGCTCATAAAGGCTTTATCCAACCAAATTAACAATTATTCGTCAGGCAGAAAGGGCAAGCAGTGTCTTGTGCTCTGTATGCTGTGTGTGGGACTAGTCTGCGCAGGGCACCTGGTCAGTCTAGATTCATTTTCTAGACTCTAGAAAATCGATCCTCAAGGAAACTATTATAGCCTATTTCTATAAAGATTTAATAATAAATAGACAGCATCCTATATCTCCATAATAGTCCATATATAAAATTAATAATATTATTCTAGTGTAGGCTAAAAATGTCTGGCGGGTTAGTTTTTGTTTATACATAGTTACGTTAGTTATTTCTCGTAAAAGAAGTGCACCATGACCATAATTATGTCAAGCTATTAACAAATTATCTTTTTAATCTCCCAGTCTAAAACTTAGGGCCTATATTTGACCGTTTTCGCCGAGCGGCCAAGTCCTCCAAAGTGCAAAATAGATAAATATAGGGGTCATGTAGGTGAAATCTTTAGGCTACTCACCCTGTTCAGTGGCTTTCAATGCGGTTTCTTCGAGTCGCAAACCGCCAGTGGATCCTTGCGGAGGACCTTGCAGGACGCACTGGGACTGACAGCTGGTGTCTCTCCCGAACTTTGTCTTGAAGATGCGTCTGTAAAAATCCGGAGTGTCCTCAATATATGAGGAGGGTTATCTGGCTGGAAACCTTTGTCTCCCACTCTCCCTCCCTCCCTGTCTTTCTCTATGTGTCTCGCGACCAACAGGAAACCGACCAGAAGAAGGAGAGAAAGTCTTGCTGGTTAAACCTCCGTAGCGGCGTCATCGGCGCGCTTTTAAACCAGCAGCTCATCCAACCCAATTACAGCCCGTCCTGACAGACTTGGGCATCTTTTTACGTGCAGTCTGTAATTTCAGACTGTAAAAATAACACTTAATCAACGTGTGCGTTTGTGATAAGCATATCCTACATGGGGTTTTGAAAACGTTTATTCCCACTTTGCTACGACCAACGCCTCATTATACTGCTCTCCCACTGTACATACCGTACATGTAATACCAGGGTAATCATACAAAGTCATGTCCCTTGACAGTTTTGGGTATAATGGAAAGTCAGGGTTATACTTTTTAGCTGAAAATGGATCCCAAATGTTACCTCACTTTGTCAAAATTAAAGTTCACTGCATTGTATGTTTAGTAGGACTCAATATGATGATTTAACCATGTGTCTCTTTACATTAGCTTTATGTCCTCATACTATGGAGTCCCACAGACTCCACTGCTGTACTTCACGTGTAAAAACAAACCACAGCTTATAGGGATTTAAAATATTTAGCTTTGTGCTGTCACAACTGACAGTTTAAATTAAAATTGATGCAGCAGAGATATCTTTTTATTCTATGCATTCTTCTTCCTTGTCAAAACATGGTGCCTACATTACCCACAATACAATGCAACAGCTGACAGTTCTGTCAGAGATTCTGGTGTAACAGCTAATGTAGCCTTGAGCCGCAAGCCTCAGGCAGAGATGAGGAATGGGCTGCAGAAGTCTGGTAAGCTCACTTCTTTCAACACCGCCAGATTTCTTTTCGTTTTCAAGCTTCTTCAAATATCTTCATCACCTCCACCTGACCGACACTGACTCGAGTGACATCACTTGAGGCAATCTACCAGCTTTAGTCCCTCTGTGGCCATGCGAACATGTTTCACAATGGTTTCACAAAATGCTAATATTTGTGAATTAGCACTAAAGTATTGGTGAGGCTGGTGGAAAAAGTTGTTAATTTTGCAGGTAGAAAAAGTGACATTTTTACCTGATGGTGGAGTGGAAAAGTCAGGACATAAAAGTTTTTACAAGTCATGCTGTGGTGACTGCAATTTATCCAACCTTTGTCACAAACTGGACTTGTGCATTTGATGAAGGTGACAAAATATAGAAATTGTTTTATATGTTATCCCCAATTTTCCAGCTGGGGTCTCAGACTCTTAGCAGTTCAAAACTGTGTTTATAAGCAATTATCATTCAATTAGAAACAATGTTAATTACATTTTTGAGCTGTTAAAGAGGGCGCTCGGACTACAAAACCAACAACAAACTAACAAACAAATAATTGAAATCAGCCCTCTAAGTTGAGTTGAGTCTTGATTTTGTGTTCTCTATAATTCAAAAGACAACAGCACAAAGGCTTTCAGAAGAATTTACAACATGTTACTGAACATGTTAAAATTGCATCAAAGCAACATGGAAAAGTGATTATTTGGGATTTTAAAGAGGAAACCACCAGTGCCACTACCAAAGCTACATTTAACATTTGCCAATATATGTTTCCCAAAAATATTGTACCCCTCCCCCTCCCCTCTTCTCTTTCTTGGGTGAGGTTTTTCTAAACACCCCAACTAGCCTCTTAAGTAAAACACCCAAAACTGAAATTGTGCAGTTATGTAGTTGTAGGCTCACGTAAAAATACATCTTGGGTGTAATGTGTACTTGTCTTGAGCTACTACTTTTTACATCTTTGATGCTTGTTTTAGTTTTTTTGTGTGAGATTCATTCAGAGAGGGTGTGTGAAATGTGAGAATAAACCAAAGAAAAACAGTCTTAACTCCCCCCAAAACCCACTCAAGCCACATGTTTGTTTTTCTGGTTACACTGAGGAATCATTTTCCATGTTTAGGCAAAACTGAATGACTTTATAAAATCAAAGCACTTCACAGGTAACAATAACTTTACTAAAGGGAAGGAAAGTTCAAACCTAAATGCAAACTAGGCATCTACTCAGTCTTAACACCAAGTTCAATGGACCATCAAACTGAAACTGAGTTACTTCCTGCAGTCCCATCTTAATCTTTAACATTTCTTTATAGCTCCCAAACAGCATATCATGTACATCCAGTTTCTCCAAACAGCTTGTGCAGCATAATCCATGTACAATATTCACCAGAGTATATTTTCTGTACAGTGTACAATCATTACCAGTATGAGGCAGTGATAGAAGATGTACGCAATACCACATTGGCTACAAGTCAAAGTCAAGGACTGAAAATGTTGTTTAAGTAAAATTATGTATGTACTGTTACTAAAATGTATTTGAAGTATCAAAAGTAAAAGTACTGTTCCCAGTGAGTGACTATCATATAGAATATTATTATATTGTTGATGAATCAATGTGTAAGCAGCATTTTAATGTTGTAACTGGTGAAGCTATTCTTCAATATTTTTTACGCTGTTAGATAGTTTAATATATAACATCGCATGTTATTTTATCAACTGATCATTTGTTTTGTATGTAAAATCTTAATCTGTAAATTAGACGAATGTAGTGGAGAAAAAAGTACCATATTTGCCTATGAACTATGGAGTTCATAGATAAATGATATTTGATTAACTGAAAAAAGACTGATCTGTGTTAAGAAATAAAACAGCGTAGAGCTGATTTGGTGTGTTTGATGGTTGCAGAAACTTCACCAGCACTTTGTGACTGACTGACTTTCGCGGGTGAGTCGACAACAGCTGATCTTGACGTAAGATCTTTTTTTGTGCTGTTGAACTGTGAACTTTTTAGCCAAAATGGACAAGAAGCTCTTCAAGTGCCCAGGGGGAAAAAACAAAACAGAAAAATGAACATCTGCAGTTCCTCTATCATAACTTTGCAAACAATGCATCTGTATGTGAAATGATCAGCAGGAAGAAACCTGATAATTTTGGTTACCTAATTACCTTTCCTTTATCGCCATTATAAGGGTAGAATTTCAGTTTTTTGATGAGTGTGTATCTTCTGATAACTTGTAGCGATTTATTACACTTGTATGGCCCCCCACCAGAATTACATCTACTGAAGTACAGAATTACTCGTCGTCTTCTTCAATAGTTGTTGAGGTTGGAGACTTGGTGTTATAATTTTGTTCCTAACTTGCAGGACTGAACCACCCGGTTGGTCCCAGGATGATTTATGTGTATTTTTCTGACTTCTCTTCAATTTCTGTTTTTTTCATGTTGAATACTGGATAATTTTACCTCTTAGTGTCTCTAAAAGTCCTTAAAATGAAACAGTCATCCCTTGACTGAGTTGCTCAGAACTAATCCTCACGCATTGGTTGGGAACCACGGGTGTAAATGTGACTATGAGGGTCAGTTTGCAGAACAGTTCAAACTGACAAGAGAAGGCACAACCACAGGAACACTGACTATTCACACAGCAAAGCTGTCACACTCGGCTGTTTATTTCTGTGCTGCCAGTACACAGTGATGCGGTTTAATGCCACTCCCTCACTAAAACTCTGTTTTAGCATTTGCATTTGCACAGGAGGCAGTCTCTCTCGATACTCTCACTGAAGGAGGCCCTTTCTCCTGCAGCAGAGCAAACCTGGGAGATGGCTCAAGCTGTGATCGGATTACTTCTCATCTTGCTGCCAGTGCCATGTAATGAAATTAACTGCAAAAATAACAATTGGCCTACTTGTCTTGTTTATTTGTTACAGCAATTATAAAGTAGTTTTGTTCCCTGCATGGCTTCTATATCATCTGTTCTTAAAATGTGTTTTTCCCACAGGTCGAGCCAAGAGTGTGATGTTTCAGCAATCTCATCCAATAATAATCAACGAAAATGCCAGGGTGGATTTTAAATGCAGCCACAATGATAGCGATCTTGATGTAATGCTCTGGTACCAGCAAACAGAGATCGGTCTGATGAATTTAATTGCATACAACTTTGTCAGCAGTGAACCAAACTATGAGAAGCAGTTTGAAGGCCGGTTTGAGATTATAAGAAGAGACATCCAAACAGGAGGTCTGAACATTAGTAGTGTGACTCCATCAGACTCAGCTGTGTATTTCTGCGCTGCCAGTACACAGTGATGTGGTTTAATGTCACCCCATCACTAAAAACCATGTTCTCTTTATTCTCCGTTGTTTTCCAGTTTAAAACCTGAGAGGCAGGCTGGTGGAATTTGCCTCAATGCAGTTACTGGACACCTGTGAGAAAGTTGACTTGTTATTCTTTGGATTTTTGTTTTTCCCTGTGACTGATAATCTATAAATAAATTAATCAGTCAGCTATTATAGCTATGCACAATGCAGGTCAGATTGTTAGTTACTATGTACCGTTATTTCACAATCAGAATCAGAAGGAGCTTTATTGCCAAGTAGTGTTTTACACATACGAGGAATTTGCTGTGGTGATCAGGTGCTACACGTAGACAATCATACAGTCAACATAAATAAATGTAGAAATATAATAAATGAGTGCTACTAATGTGGCTGCAGTGACTTGGACTCTTTTTGAGGTGTCATGGGACAAATTCAGTGACATACCTGTGATGTGATGGATGTAGACTTATTCATAATCCGGCCACAGTTACCTACACAATACTAACACTCTCGCACTATTTCTACATACATTTTCACACTTAAAAGGTATAAGAGACACATCCAATAAGGCTGTACAGTAAGGTCATTAAGTCATTTCAAAAACATCCAACTTTTGCTTTAAGTTGAAGATTTTTAAATTATTTCTTTCATTTTTGTCCTTGAAACAAAGATATTTATAACTTTTGTTAAAAAGGTAAACCATCAACCTATCCATGGTCAACCTCTTATCCTGTGTACAGGGTCAACATATGAAAAGGCAATAAAATTTATTCAGATTCAATAAGAAGATAACGTTTTAATTATTGGGCTCAGTAAAAACCCAACCAAATTTTAGTCTTAGATTTTGCGTAGGCCATAGAAATCACAATGTTGTACATGATGCAAAAGGACTTGAACAAAAGTGATTGTCAGTTTCAGAAAAGTGCTCAGGATTTAAACATTCTGAACATTAGCACTGATTTATTTGGGTACATAAATAATACACATTAAGCCATATTTGTTTCACACATTTCTTTGTTTTCTGCTTTTCTATGTCCTGTGACCCGGTGTGGAGGGAGGCAACTTGAAGTCTCAAGTCTCACAAGGTTGAAGTCAGGAAGGGATAATCAAGTATTTTTAGCACACCAAACAGAGGTGACCACCCACTTCTTCTGGTCTCTGTATATCTAAAAAAAAATATCCGATGGTTGTTACCAAATAAAAATCTTTACAGGGTAGTGCAGCCTAGCCTCCAGGCATGTTTTTGTTTTAATTATATGAGCACAATACCTTATGCACCATCTTTGCCCACATTTTCCACATCCACATTTCTTACAGACCTCCAGTTGTGATTCCTGGTAATTAAATCTAGCCATGGCTTTAAAAGGAGCCCTAAGCCACAGGAAGTTAACATTAAAATGACTAAGCTTTACATCCATTCCCTCAAGAGCTAAAATGTAGCTACACATATGCAGAAAGAAAAAAACACTCTTTGTATACGTTAAAGAAAACAGCTGTGCCTAATTTAGCTTTCATGCCCAACCAGTATTTAGACATCTTCTCCAACAAGCTGTGTTTTCCCTCTGGCTAGTCCACTCTTCTTTTCCTCCAGGCCTCAGTTTTCAGTATACCGAGGTCGCATCCACCTACAGTCATTTTTCCGTCCTCCTCGTGGGCCTTCAGAGCTGCCGGCTGAGCTTCTGCGCCTGCCTCTCCTTTGCGTTAAAGGCATATTTTGTATCCTGTAGCTGTTCTATAATCTCCTTGGCCTCCTTCATCTCCACAGCGAGCTGGTTGTACTTCTCCACCAGCTCCTGGTTCTCTCTCCGGAGCTCCACCACCAGCTGGCTCAGTTCCTCGCTCTGCTTCCCGCAGTGCACCTTCAGCTGCTCCATCTCAGAGAGTGTGTCCTCCATGTGCTTCACCAGGCTCTCCAGCTTGTCCTTAGACATCTCTGAAATTATTTTATTCGCCTTCACAGGGTTTTTGTTCTTTGTGTCTGAGCTTCGTCTCCTTTCTCGCGTGTTGTTGAGTGTCTGCGCTTCTTTGCAGGTCTTGAGCGATTATTGAAGTCTAATCCTCAATTCCTTACATGTCTCACATGGAGCAGATATCCCTCCCATGACGATAATCCCCTTAGCAGAGCTATCCTGGGAAACAGATTACGCACATAGGTGTGACACACAGCCACAACATCCATACAGAGGATGAAAGTGATTGACAGATCACTTCAGTTCACTCATTAGTCTCATCCTCTTGTCAGGAACAAGCTTAAAGGCACACAATGAATTGTGACGTCTAATTTAACATCTGCAAAGAGAGAAACAAAACAGAAACAGAAGATTCAAATTTCTTTCAGTAGGGATTCTTCATCACTGGGGGAAAAAAAAGCCTTGAGAAAGGTTTAATCTTTTCTGGGAAAGCAGCCCACCGGCTTCAAGTGCAGGGTGTAACCTAATCTGAGCAGAACAGGTGTCTGGAATGAATGCAAGGGAAGCCTTATGGAATTAACTATGTAGTTGTTTACCAGCCGAGCCGCAGGATTCACATGCCAGAATGAGGCCTCACTGAGGGCTTGTTAGGTAAGTCATAGTATGAGGCTAAACATTCTGCCATACTGTGCCACTGTCCCAGCCAGCAAGGCCAAACGGTCCCCATGGTGACAGCTAACGTGTCCAGTGCCCCAGGCAACGTGCCAACTGTGCACGTCCGCCAATTGGCATCGGGGGACGGCGAGCGCGGGATGCCAGTGTATCACCACGCCGAGGAATTTCCACAGTGTTCCCACCGTCTGCAGAAATGCTTTGTGTCAATTCCCAGGGGGGTTTGCTCACTGGACATCAGTACAGCTGATGCAGGAGAGACAACAATATTTTGTCACCGTGGTGAAGTAAAAAGATCCATGGGTTTTTCCCCTGTTATGACCTGGCTCAAAAGACACACCACAATAAACTTTTAACAAAATATATTTATTTAACTCAAAATAAGCCAAATTAAGACTTGTGCGAATGTAAAGGTCATAAAGAATGGGGTATGAACATCAGATGTTTCAGTCATGTCATGGCAGGATGATGGATGCATGGAAATGTAATGTGCAAGAAACAATAACTACAACAAAAACAGCATGTCCAGAAACCAAAGCAAAGGTGGAACATGTGGAGGGAAACAGTTAGAAGTTAGAAGAACCTCTGTGTGGAGGGGGGCAAACGAAAACAGAGATCAGTACAGTTTTATTGAAGTAAAATATTACAACATACAGCTTTAGCTGTTGTTTGGTCTTGGATATCAACTATGCAGTGGTGGAATGTACCTTAACGTAGCTACTCAAATACCACACTTAAGTACAGTGTGCAGACGTTACTATTTTTATTGATGTGGATTTCCTGTAGCCTTTACCTACATGTGTTTGTCTGAACATACCCATATTATAATCGACAGTTTCAATCAAAGATTATGGTGCACACAGGCTGAGAAAAACAGAGAAGTTAGAGATTTGAGAATCGGAGGGTCAGACTCAATAAACAAAACAGAGTATTTTAAGTTTAATTATTTATTAAAAAACAAAATCTGAACTGAATAACCTTGCATAACACACATATGCCTGTGGAGGACAAAAAAAGCCAGTCACCCAATGTATTCCCTTAAAACAAAAAGGGAAGGAGAAAAAAAACAGACTAAGAAACAAATATTACTGTATTGTTCCCTCTTGGGTTTCTTCTCTGCAAGCATGAAACTTGAGTGCAACAACAATAAAAGAGCAATCAGTGCAGCTCTTCCTCATCTTTCAGTCATTATCAGAAGCCACAGAGTTTGGGTTCATACATATCTCAATGTTTCATACCAGTCCATTATCTTATTTATTTTTCACCTTGATTTAAACGTTTGGTTGACATGATTAAAATAGCGAGGTAAGCAAACCATGCTTGGCAACAGGAGATCATGTTTTCCAAAAAGTTTCACAAATTCAAGTATCAAATTAAAATAGAGCTGCAAATCCCTCATTCAATGAATGTTTTTTCTTCAGTAAACACAAGCAAAGAGTTTTCACACTTTCCCAGATTGCTCTGATCTGTGCAGGAACCCAGCTAACATTTACCCTCATGTTTCAAAAAGTATAAAGTTTCTCTTCTGCATATTGAAGAACAGTATCTGTGTAGAGTCTAAATAATTTTAGTATTTAACGTAGCATAGTTCCAGACAGCACCAGGCGAGCATCATGAGGGCAGCTATAGCCTAAAGGTTCAGAGTTTGTGACCAGATGATCACATCTTACAATCACAGGACAGGTTGGAAAAACTAACTCAAATATTAGCCAGGGAAGTAAATGAATGCACATTTCTGTCCCACAATAACACCACCACCACCACCAACTATTACCAAAATGCCCTTGAGCAAGGCACTGAACCTCCAACTGCTCCAGCAGAACTGCTCAGTGGCTGACAGTACATGACATGGCAGACAATTCTCAGGTGTGAGTGTGTCAGTGTGCGCGTGAACTTTCCTCCCTCTGCAGGCAGTGAATTCAAATGTCATTTAAGGTCAAAATAAGGGCAGAAAACATGGTGAAATCTCTGATGAGTCAGTGTCACAATTATACTGATATTTTAATTCTAAAGACAATAAGTTCTTCTACTTTCCCAGTGAGAAAGATTCACATGCTCAATGCATCCTGTTAAGTGTAAATCGCTCCAGGTTCAGAGCTTTGGTTTTCGTGTGTCTAAAGTGGAAAACAAAGGAAAGAAACACATCTTAACCATTCTTAACAGCAGTGATGAAAGCACATCTGGTGACTGACACAATCAAACTACACACTTACCATCTACTATCAATATCATCATAGAGGGGTCCATTAGTTTGATGAAGGCTTTTTTAATCGTGGGTTTAGTTTTGGGGGTGGTGGTAGCTGACAAGCCATAAAAATGAAGATGTTTGATGAAAGTTTAATGGAACTGTAATGGAACTGTCTCCCTCCGCTCAACAGCTACCGCCAAGGTGTCCCTGAGCAAGGCACCTTCTGTAAAGCCCCAGTTGTAGAAGACTGTTGTTGTACAGGGTTGTACCAGGTATGAATGTGAAACAGGGCTCTACTGAAAAGGAGCAGATGACCTCTTGTAAAGCTTCCCTGGATAAATAAAATAAAAAAATTCCCGCTAACTTTGATTGAACCTGAGACCTGTGAACGCCAATCTGAAGAAAAGGTCCCAAGTCGAGCGAGAAATGTCACTTCTTGGTTTAAAAACAGAAATAAAATACTTTGAGAACAGCTGTCATGAGGAATAACCCTCCGTTGGCGCTGGAAAAAATGCAGAGCAAAAACAACTTGTGTCTCGTCACGATGAGTTCTTAGGAGGGGATGTGGGAGCGGGAGGGGCCCCTGCATCACCCTTTGTTCCCCGGCTGTGAAGGGACCGCTCTTGTGTTGTTGGAAGGAGGGCTATGTGGGTGAGGGTTATGAGGGCAGCATCCTGCTAAATGTAGAACTGGTGTAGCGCCAGCTTGTCCATGAAGGGCTGTACCAAGTTGTCTGTGGCGAAGTAGAAGACCAGGCCAAAAAAAATGGAGATGGGCAGAGCGGGAAGTGCTTTCTTGAAGATGGCGAGGAGGAGTAGGGTCAGACACAGGCCCTGAGGGAGCAGAAGCACAAAAAATAAAACACAGAGGAAATGGCACATTGAAAGACTGTGTACCAAACAAAATCAGCTCTGAAGGGGGAAAATCTGCCTGTTATACAATCAAGTGGTTCACATATACATATATTTCTTTACACTTGTTAAAGCACTTTGTAACTTGTTTTTGAAAAGTGCTCTACAAATAAGGATTATTATTATATAGTGGGTTTAGATATTGTGCTCAGAGACAGAGATGAGGTTGCGGTGACAGGAGGTCAACACTAAAATAAGCAGCTGTGGTCACTCACAATGAGGATGGCTACGAAGCAGGCGAGCGTGGTGTTCCAGTCGCCACTGGCTGTGGCAGAGGCCTTTCCAACAAGCATGCTGTAGAAGATGAAGTCTCCGAGCCCCAGCTTGACGCCCCCTGAGGACACAGGAGGACACCACATTCAGGGTGGAGTCAATTCAAATACAGTATTCTCTTTAGCCCCACACCCTCCAACCCCCAAAGAAATCTTTTCTCAACTGTAATTACTGTACAAACAAGAGTTCTGAACACTCTGACCCCATATTTACTAAAGCTTTAAGTTAGAAAGTGCACGAGCTCCCAAATAGTACAGAAATGAAACCCAGCAATTTCCATGAATAATCGCTTCCTAATCCGCTCTGACTAAAAACAGTCTGCAGGCAAACATGTAGTTGCATTCACATATGCACTAATTTCACAGAAAAGGAAACACATAAAAACCATCCCAAAATGTTTTATGTGTCCAGAAAAGAGGGCGCTAAAAAAGATGATGATTACACACAGAGTAGTCACACAATCTGGGAATACTCGTTTGAATTCCAGAGCTCGGTCTGCGCCAAGCTATTTAATTAATCATAAAATGGACAGTATGTAGTGTTGGCACGATGTCTTTTATGGATCTGCTGTCATCGACTGTAATCTAGCTAAAAGGAAGGCCTGATCAATTGATCACAGATAATTAAAATCAATTAGAGATCACTTATGAATATGTAATAACTTGAAACCTGAGGCAAAGAAACTCACTCTCCTCATCATCGTCTTCAACGGGAGGACGAGCAGAGGGCATCTGCTGGATCTCCCGTCTGGTCTCCTCGGTGGACTGGATCGGCCCCAGCTGATGCTCCTGCTGGTTGACCCAGGAGGAGGTGAAGCCTCCGTCGTCCTGTGACAGACTGGAGGGAGCTGGGGACGCCACAGCTGCAGACAAGTGTTATCAGTCAGACTAAACCAGCACGCACACTGTCCAACCGTCCAGCAGCAGATTAAACTGCGCTCAATCACTATGACCAAACTCTTTGACACCCTGCTCACCTTCTTGAGCCTCTTGTTGAGGTGATGCTGCTTCTGTCGAGTTCCTTTTTGGCCTGTCAGTGTCGGCCATGTTGACGAGCCACACCATTGTAGCTAGGGAAGAAGTCAGAGTCAAAATATTAAGGTGTAAAGATTTGTGTTACAAGCTGAATCCAAGGAAAACTAGAAAAAGGCAGGAAAATTTTTGCTCAATTCCCCTGAAAATTTGAAGGTGAAACATTTAACAACGTCTTGTCTTGGCTTTTCACATGTATTTGTGTGGCAGTATCAATGAAGTTCAACTTAGACCTTAAGCTGAAGTTCTAAAGAAGTTTAAAAGTATGTCAGTTGAAGTGAAAGTGCTTTAAAAAAAGACAGTTGAAGTGAAAGTGCAGAAAACAGTTAAAATTTTAATTGAATTGTGAGCACTGCAAGGAGTCTAACCCCTTAGGAGTTGAAGTGTAAGTACTTTTTAGCACTGAAAGAAGTTGGAGCTCTACTTCTGTTTTATTAGAATAGAATTTGATAAATGTACAGTACTGTGCTAAGCCAAGTGTGCTTTCAAAATGAACACGTTATTGGATGGTATTTATCAATAAACAAAATGCAAAGTGAATGAATAGAAGAAAAATCTGAATCAAATCATTATTGCCTTCAAAACAGCATCAGCTTCTAGGTACATAGTTTTTGAAGGGACTCGGCAGGTGGGTTGGGCCAAACATCTTTGAGAACTACCCACAGCCTCAGTTGATTCTCTATCTTCTTCTAATCCCAAACAGACTCAATGATGTTGCGATCAGGGCTTTGTGGGGGCCATACATCACTTACAGAACTCCTTGTACTTCTTTCACTGAAGATAGTTCTTAATGACTTTCACTGTATGTTTGGGGTCATTGTCATGCAGCAGAACACATTTGGGGCCAATCAGATGCCTCTCTGATGGGACTGCACGATGAATAAGCATCTGCCTGTACTTCTCAGCATTGAGGAGACTATTAATTATGACCAAATCCCCAACTCCGTATGCAGAAATGCAGCCCCAAACTTTCAAGGAACCTCCGCCATGCTTCACTGTTGTCTGCAGAAATTCTTGTACCCGCTCAACAGCCCTTCTGTGAACTGCCTTCTGCTGCAGCCAAATATTTCAAATTTTCACCCATCGGTCCAGAATCGGAATGGCTTTTTGGCTGCAAGTCTTTACCAGTTTCTGCAACTACGCCCTCAGCTTTGCCCATTTCTTTGTGCTTCTTTAAAAGAGCTTGGACAGCACACCTGGACACCCATGCCTGTCTTGAAATGTCTGCCTGGGAGAGATGTAGTGTAACTACCTTGTGTCTTTCTTGCTGTGCTCAGTCTTACCACGGTGTTTGACTTTAGACAGTAATCTGTCTTCAGCAACCTCACCTCGTTAGCCGAGTTTGGCTGTTCTGCACCCAGTTGTATTCCTCCTTCACAGCTGTTTCCGTTTCAGTTAATGATTTTTTTTTAACCTACATTTTTATTTATGATTATAAGCACAGATTGATTTGATTTAGATTAAATATAATCTATTAACATGTCTATTTTTGAAAGCCTTCTTAATTTAAATCATTTTCCCACATCTAAAACTTTTGCACAGTACTGTATCTCTATAAATTATATCTGTCTTACAAGAGTAGATGAGAGCTGGGAAGATGGGTTCGTTCCTCTCCTGAGCCGTCTCCACCAGGATCCTCAGAGGCCCTTTGGGACAGAGCACCGCTAACAGATCTGTGTGAGGAAAGAAGACAGAGACCAGACAAGTGATGTTAGCCACCAAACAGAGGGCTCTGTGAAAGACCAAAAACAGATCTGAGATAACAAGACACAAAGACAGTTTCTTCTAGTGAAAACAGTTTCTGCCTCTGGTGGAGTAGAGAGGCAGTATACAAGCTTGATCACTCCAAAATGAATAATGATCCCATTAACAGTGCCAAATGCGCTCTTTCTTCTTTGTTCCACGTACAATGAAATTGGTACACAAACATCTTCAAAGGTTGGGTAAAGGTAAAGAGTTCAGAGCAAAAAAGAGAGGAGGATTTACCGTAGACAGATATGACGGCTAATATGAGCCAGGCGGTCCACTCTGGCAGGTACTTAATGAAAACCAGGGCCATGAGGGCACTGATCATGATGAGGTAGGCCTGCTGGAGCCGCAGCGGTCCTTTCCAATGAATACACATCATGCCGACCACTCCGAAGTTCCAAATTATTATTGCCAGGGTAAAGAAGTCCATGGCCACATTGTAGGTCTTGAAAACCTCTCTGTTTGGACAGAGCAGAGACATGAGACATACCTCGAAAGACTCCATTCATCATCACAAAGAATTTGACACCTTCACATTCATGACAATGTAAGGGAATCTTGGAGAATGAGATAAAATGTTGAGGGGTGTGGCTTACTTGAGGTAGATGTAGGAGAAGAAGAACAGCAGGAGCAGGGAGGAGAGGATGAGCCATCCTTGGATCACCTGTGGAAGCAAGGATCAGAATCACGAGATTTTATGTACAACAAATCAGTACTTGCAAATATGTGTAACTAGTGTTTGTTTTAAACCACCAGGACAACCTCGCGGGGTGGGGTTACAAAAGAGGGCAATAGAATGAGCATCAAAGAGTTTGGACAAAGTGAAAATGCTTTGTCCTGATGATGCTCAGCCCCACCTGTCTAAGGCATTGCCAAGTTCAGGGTTTAATTATTAAGGCCCTACAGGTGTGCCCCCCCCCCCCATTTTGCCTGAACTAACATACTGCCAGCACTACTTACAGACTGTGCCTAATTACCATTAGTACACTAATCTGTTAATTTGTTACTTACACACCTATAGCCGACAGTTTACATGACAGGAAAAGTGCAGGTGGGACTAATAACTTTAGCGATTGCTTTATTACAATGAAGAGACCTAGTAAGCCATGACAGTGTGACAGCACACAGAAAGAACAGGGAGTTGGAACTGGCACACCTTTCTGTGTATCTGTGTTTGGCAAGTCAAATGCCCCCTGTGAATCCAGGTGAGTCCACAACTCCATCCAAAGCCTATTAAACCCAGTTTAAACTAACAAATACTATTATATTATTCATCTCAGGTCTGACTACAGCATGTGTGATGCAATGTGACAAGTTTTAGCATGTACCTTGTAGCAGCGGTTCTTGTATAACAGCACCAGCACCAAAGTCATGACGATGATCACAGTGTTCATGATGGTGGCGTTCAGGATGGAGTTGAGGGCTCTCTGCCCTACTGTGTCTGTGTCTTCAGGGAACGGCGTGTAGATCCTTGGGGTGACATTTCAAGGAACCATTACAAAGACACATCTCAGTCAAACAGCAAAGAAAAGAATATTTAATAAATAAAATAAATAACCTTGTATTTTTTCATGTTTTTAATGTACAGTGACTTTCATGTCTTCTTCTTATTACAGCTTGTTGCCCTAAATGTTAGTGAGCTAAACTTACTGCTATTTCAATGCGTTTCAATTGCTCAGGATAAGAGCTAAAGATATAAAATGTTATGTTTATTTGCCCTGAGCCAGATTTAGACACTGTTTTAATGATCTTATGCAGGAGTTTTCAAAGTATAGCACTGAATGGAAGTGAAACAATATTACATTACTTAGAATATTCTACAGGTGTAAGAGTTGTAGTTGTAGTTGTAGTTGTAAGAGAAACTAATAAATATGCCTTAGGACAGACCTATTTTAAAATTATTTGGTGTAGTCAGAAGATGTAATAGCGATATTAGGATATTTTGGCTCAAACGTTGAGTGTCTATGGATCAAATAATATAGTTATGGTCCCATAGGCATCCAGGAATTGAACAAAACTAACCAACTAAATAAACATGTGGTGGTGGTGGTGGGGGGAGGCCCGCAGTTGTCTGTCATCTGAGGGGAGGCCCGCAGTCTGATCTTCTCTGATCTTATGCAATTCGAGTACTCTAGAGTACTGTTAGGTATTTAAACTATGTACATATGATATACATTGCATTAACTCCACCTAGTGGCACTGCGGCAGTGTTGCATTTCATTTTTCCTAATAAGCTTCTGGCACAAATCCCATCTTAGTCCCCTGTCAACCACAATCTGTCTGATAACAGTTACGACACTCACAGTCTCTGCCCGTCATTCTGCGTGTAGAAGCTGACAGACTTTATGGTTGCAACGACGACCACCATGCAGAGGGTCACAGGAACAAACAGCATGATGACGTGCTTGGCCCCATATTTCAGGGTCAACTCTTCGTCCTCTTCCTCCTCAGTCTCCACCAAACGTGGAGGCCGAGCGACGGGGGGCTGTCCGTTCTGCTCCGGTCCACTACCATTGCCATTACCACCTCCACCATCACCCCCTCCTCCTCCAGCTCCTGAACCTCCTCTGGACCGTGCTCTGGCCACCGCAGCGTCCTGCGGCTGCTGGGTGGGTCCAGTGGCAACATTGGTCTCCTGTTGGTCCTTTTGGTATGAGAGAAGAAGAATCACTTTATTATCTAAGTATACTCAATGGACAGAATTTTTTACATTACATTTTTCTTGTTTAGACAAGTTTTACTACTCAAAACAAAAGTCACACTTTAGCAAGCAAACAATCATTTGTGAAACGTGATGCTTCCACAATTGTACCTGCTTTTGTGAACCGGGCCCCAGACTTAAAACAGAGACACTGTGGTTCCCAGTTAGTTCCTTAAACCCCATCTACATCTTGTCTATGAATTCTATGTTTAGAGGCCACAAACTTGAAAAAGCAGATATTTTGAAAATTCTACACCCAAAATTTTGCCACATAAATAGTCCAAATTTTCTGTAAAAGTTGGATCGACACATATGTCAACAAGACCATCATATTATCAGATGAAACACTAGCTCGAGTATTTTGTTTATTTTTATTGTCAAAAATGCCTACAAACTGGACAAACACTACAGCAGTGTTTCCTCTGCTGAATCACGACCGCCACTACTAAAATTTCATTAGATTATAAGAGCAGCATAACTCTGAATCAGGAGGTGAGTAGCGAGTGTTTGAATGTCCGAGCGGCAGAAAGTGACGGTGAACGCGAGCAGAGGAAAATATTCTGGCAGTAAATGTGCGGTGTCTGTTACAGTGTGTTAGCTTCTCAAGACCAAGAAAAGTCTGTTGTTTCCCACCTGCTGGAAAAGTGAAGCCCGTTAGCGCTAAGTTAGCTAACATCTCACCCCTCTTCAGACTGCACAGCTGTGCAGGAATGTGCAAATAAAATGCACCTCAGAAGGGAGGAGGTTTCTCATGTTGCCTATTTTTTATATTAATGTCTACAGATAAATGTAAAATGCAGTAAAATCACGACACAAAAGGCAAACATGAACAGTCATATCTATAATGATTCTGAGGTCATATTAACAGGGTTTTCCAGCAACAGAACCAACCAAATTACTTTCTCCAGATCTAAAGGTTGTAGTTCCTCCAGTAGACTGATCTTTGGTGTTGTTTATTTATTATCTGCTCTAGCTTTTCAAAGTATTTGTTCAGCAGATCTATCCCACAACAAAAAAAAAAAAACAAATCAAGGAGACTGTGTGAACTAGAAGTGTCAGGCTGCCAGGCGAGTCAAGACATGCGGCAGCCCAGACATGAAGCAATCTCACCAGGTACACAGAAATAAAGACAGGAGGCATCTCTAGAGACTTTTCTGAACAGTGAAAGCTCCCACAGCTCTTAAATGAGCTGCTTTCCAAAATGATCTCACTCTGTGATACATCACATTGTTTTTTTAGTCCTGGGAATAGGGCCAATGTAGGAAACAAGGACAAAAGAGATACAGACTACTGAATGTGTGTTAAATTAACCAGTTACTTTGTAGGGTAGTACTGTAGTAGCATACCAAAATATGTGTTAAAAAAACTTCTTCTGGCCATACTGGCCTGACTCAGCTATTTGACCTGGACCCAGCTGACATCAAACTGGGCTGACTGAGCCGTTTAAGACAGGCATGACAAGACCAAGACACATTTTTGTGATGTACAACTGTGATGTTTGAGATGTACAACATGCACAATTGTTTGGGGTAAACAAAACTTTTGTCAAGCTACAGATGTGATAAGTGAAACGGAACTTTTAGTTCTTGACTGGGCGAAGGAGGCCACACCTTTATTTACAGTAAAAGCCAAACGGAAAAAGGAAAGAAACGTACCTAATGTTTCTACCTCAGTGATTTAAAGTCTTTCCTCTTTCCTTATCAGAACCTAAACATGCACAATCACCATTTCACTGCATGAAAGGCCAAATGAAACCAAAGTTATCAGTCTCAAACTCCCCCACACTGTGTGGCGTCACCCATAGAAACAGATGACTCTTTCATCACTTGACACTGAAACATTGGGTTACACACAACCAAAACTGTTAGGTAATCATTATCCAATACATAAACAGGGAAGAGACAGATATAGTGTGACAGCAACTGTGACACATTCTTTTATACTGACCATATTGTTTTCTATATCCTCTGCATTGTTCGCCATGGTTGGCTCGGCCGACACTTGTCCTCACATGCAAACCAATTTCTTTTGTGCCGATGAAAGAAAACAGGAGACAATATTTAGTTTGTAGCAAAGAAAATGAGAACAAAGATTGAATCAATCAAGGTCGTAAAGATAGAGCATATCATCTTGCAGAGACTTTTAACCCCTATAAACTGACTTGACAGTGATTTAAGAAAAAAACGAGAGCATCTTATTTTTGAACTTTTCTATTGTAAAAGATGTGTTGTTCTTACAAGAAATGACATTGACAAAAAAAAAAGTGTTTAATCTGTGTTCATCAGTCAAACATGGGTTCATATTTCATAAGTCTGTAAAAAAAAAGTATCTTAAACGAATACCTGCATGCATACCCATATGCACATTCACACAAGAGTTTACAGTTTGCTGCAATCATTCCTCTTGGCCACAAAGTTACCTCTTCCTTGTGTTACTCAATTCCTTGTTCTGTGCAAAACAAAAATGCATTTCAAAGAACAACCAAAGCTGACATTATCAGGTTTCGACAGTCTTGATTCAAGCGGGTATCTCCCAAAGGTCCTTAATAAGAAACTCCCTCTTTATGTTTCACAAGACCTTTCCTTGCTGAGTTGCAGTGGAGGGATAACACAAATAGGGAATTTTGTACAAAAAATACTTAACTTTGAGAGACGCCCACTGCTTATGACTAAAACTAGCTTTGGCTGAACTTTAAAATGCATGTTTGTACATAACAAGGACTGTGGGTCTTCTCTCCCAGCTCTTACATGAGGAAGAGACCCCTTGACGGCCATTATGGACAGGGGGAACGACTACAGGGACCAGCAACAATTATCTATGATAATTAACAGCTAACTTATATATAAAAGAAAGGCTTTTATTTAAAAAGAAACCTTTTCAAATAAAATATCTAAACATCTCCTTAAATAATATCCAAGCAACTACGCTAACAACGTTTAATACGTGCTTGAATTTACCATTAGGTGTCATGCTTTGACATAATAGTGACATAAATAAGATTTTTAACCACTTCATTAGTATGAATGTAACGTTCACGTTACCCATTAAACGACGGTAAAATAAATATCATTTATTATTCGTTTTCCTGCTGAAGGTTAAATTAATTTTTTTTCTATCGTTACTTGGTAATTACTTAACAGGTAGTGGGCGCGAACATTAATTATCTAACTGTCTTTATTACAAATAGAGGTATTTTATCATTAGCGACGGGCTAAAATGGCTAGTTAGCCAATAATGTTATAACGGCAGAGCAGCGGGCGCGCTGGGGGCTAACGTTAACGCTTCATAACTTCCACAGCACAAACAAAATGTAGCTCCTGAATAGCGGGCTGAAAATAATTAAACTTACCTACTGTGAACAGTTAATTTCCCCGCTTTAGTGTTCTTACGTGTTCTGAAGTAGGTTTAAAACCGGGGTACTTTCTGCTCTTTGTTGTTCCTGTCTTCTCACAGAACATCCGGCCGCTGGAGCTACTTCCTGCTCGCACACCTTCAGGGAGCGTTCAGGATCAAAACGTTGTTTGAGATTAGATCAGGTTTGTTTCACTATATTATAATATTGCTGGTTTAAATAAATCAGAATCTTGCTCGTGTAATGTCGTTGACCCAATGTTAGCGTTTAAACCAACATCAGACTAATGTTAACCCACCTAACAGAAACCCACCAAGAAGAACCAACAGCATCGGTGAATTCTTCTTCCGGCTTCATACAGACGACGAAGAAGAAGAAGATGAGTTCTTCTTCCGGTGATAAAGGCCAACTCGTCCGAGCAGAAGCAAGGATCCAAGAAAATCCACGGACACCGACTGAAACCCTGTTAAACATGGTTAGTACTTTGTGATATAATGTTTATAGTATACATGTTTATGTTTTCATGTGAGACACAAAGTAATGCGCCGGATTTAACGTATTTATTTCATTAGAACAGGTGTTTGAAAAGGCTGCAAGCTCCCTGCTAACGTTAGCATGAATGTGGGGGACGTTTGTCAGTTGAGCAGCTGTAATGAACCAAACTGACTCAAGACAAATGAAGCACCAATGTACTGCTTACCAGAAGCTATTGGTACACGTATTAATTATTTAACGCTACTTTCTTATCGCTAAAAGTCAATGTTGGCTAACTCGCATTAAGACTCAGCTCTAGACTCAGGTCTGTTTGCTTAGTCTTGAAATCATAAAACAAAACTTGAATTTAGAAATATGCAGAAAATTACGTTACATATTTAACGTTATATTCTTTAATGGCTTCAGATTATTATCTTAAAAGCACGAATGTATCTACATGTTAAAACAAAATGACTAATTGTCACTATTGCTAGCTACTTAACTTAATATCATGACAATTAGGGATGTGGTGATACCAAAAATGTAGTAGTCGATATAGATACCAGTAAAATTCCAAAGTTCTTGATACTAATGCGATACCGTGGTAAAAAACAAACAAAATCTAAGCAAAAACCTTTTTCCTAATGAGCACATGTGCAACGCAAAGTTTAACAAACTATTTATTATTGTTTATAAATATTTATACTACGTGTGTGTGCTCCTCCTCCTTGTGTTCAACTATGGTGTGTAAACACTGGAGGACTGAAAGTGAAGACCCTGGTATCTGGACACTCAGCATTGGCCTTTAAAATATTGAAACAGAAGTTTTGAAAACACTGATCAGTCATTGCCAAAAACTTTACTGATTGGTGCTTGTGTAGTTTTTGAACCAGGGACGGATTAACCATCCACCAGCAGCACCCACACAGCCCACACCTGATGTAAACAAGAGTAGCAGCGTTACATTAACTTTAGTAAATCAGAACCAGGGGGCATTTATATTATTATAATTACAGTAGTAAAAATTTTACTATATGCATTGTCATTTTATGTAACACTATACTACATAGCTCACCACTAGTAGGCTCTAATATTAATTCCAGTTGGACAAAACAGCAGTTTCATTCTTTTGTTCATTAAATCCTTATGCAAGAAAAATTGCCCACATTGGTCTCTTAAATATGTTACTAATCTCATCAATAATCAGAACCATTCATGCAGGAGGAGTTCAACGTTTGAAAGTTTACTGTGATTGGCCCATCCAGGCTGTGATTGGTCAGTTGAGCACATCGATTTTGGACATGTTTCAACAAAAAGCGCCTAATAGGGGAAAGCCGCGACGAACGAAACGCAGCAATTTTCTCGGAGCCCATACAAGTCTGATCTGCCAAACTACCTCAGCACATACAGAGTATCAGTATCACACAGTACCGACCAGGACAGATCAGGTGGATACGTCCCACTTTCACGGAGTTATACAAAAGAAGCTGTTTTCAGTCACGGAAAGTAAATTCACTCAAGCGGTCTTTTTCTTCTTTTTTTTTTTTGCATAATGAGTTGTGTTTATTGTTCCATGTGTCATGGTCACATGACAGATCATTTAGTACTTTAACACATCCTGAAGTTTTAAATGTCAAAGTTTTACAGTTTAGAAGCTAGTGAAGTTTAAACATCAGGAATCACGCAGACACACAAGCACACACCTACTCTCGCGTTTGGTTTTTCACCCGTGATTCCATTTTCACAGCAGCAGATGAGGCTGCTTGTTAATTACTGATAGAGACCATGTCTGAATGACATCGTCACCATCAGCTGTGTTCACTGTTTCTTTACCTGGTCCCTGCTTTACAATATCCACAGCGTCTCTTTCTGTGTGTTTCTCTACAGATGTAGTGAGCGTTGTGTCTTTTTCACTCTCGTGAATAATTTTCACACACACCTAAGATATGTTTTAGCCTGTGTGTGTGGCTGTGACATGAGGTTACTGTCTGTGTACACACGTGAAACACCGCACAGCGCAGCCTGTTTGTAACGTTCATGTCACCGGCAGAAAATTGGATATTTGACACTGCTCAGCCCCAGTCAGAGCTAAGTAAGCGAAAAAATCCGCCCTATTTTAGTCCCCAGCTGATCAATCTGCACATCTCTAGCTGTAGAAGATGAGTTCCAATCCAAAAAGCTGTTAAATAATACTGACAGATCAGGTGGATACGTCCCACTTTCACTAAAATAAATAAGCTAGGTGATGTTATAATAACAGAGTGGGCTCATAGAAAAATAATCGGTTATCATAACTTTTTGTCATGATTAATTTATTAATGACTCAGCATCATCTGTATTAAAGACATCCAGTGTTTAAAGTGCATAAAACAGCCATGCCAGCCTACTTAACATTACTGGAGCTCCACAACTACTGACTGTTTTTAACTGGTTTCTGCCACCGGACTCCTGTGAGAGGGAAAGCAGGCAGTGAACCAAACCACTGTGAGGCAAGAGAGGGGTGACTCAAAATGTTTCTAAACTTAAAAAGCACTTTAATTGCCCTGTTTGCTGTTTGATGTCAATATATTCATAAATGAGCAAGTAATGCACTGTGCATATTTAATTAATAATATGCCAGGAGCTATTGAACGCAACTGCTGTAAATAACTGGCGGCGCTGTCGCTGCAGCTGAACATGTTTCTATCTTCCATGTGTTGGATCTCTGGATTAACAGCTCAAAGCAGCCAAAAAACGCAACATATTCAGTTTATATTTATATAATATGGAGCAAAACTAGCATGTTTGCACATCTGAGCCAACAAGTGTTCATCACACTTGCAATAGATCTTTTTTTTGGCTATTCTGGATTATTTTGTGAGGAAGTCATTAAAATGATTTCTTAAACCACAGTCTTACAACATGTCTGGTTTTTCAGTCTCACACCATCCTGCTGGTGCAGCCCACCAAGAGGCCAGAGGGGAGGACATATGCTGATTATGAATCTGTCAACGAGTGTATGGAAGGTAAACTGATGGTGCTTTTGAAGAACTGACATTTCAACTCCTCATTGGCTTACTCATAAATACTTACCCTCCATCTGTCTGGACTTTTGCTGCGTGTCTTGAAACACAAAGTCCTTTACAAGCATGCACTTCATGTGAATTAGGGCTGAACCATTAATCGAAATTTTATCGAAATCACAATATGGCCTACTGCAATTTTCAAATTGCAGGAGGTGCAGTATTTGTGAACTGTGTGTGTAAATACCATTTTAAATTAAATATTGTCGCTTTGCAGAGATGTCCTGGCCTACCCTTTATATTCTGCTTAAGAAAATAATTGAATATGCAACATGAAAGATCAAAGCTAACAAAAACACTATATACAGTGGGTACGGAAAGTATTCAGACCCCTTTAAATTTTTCACTCTTTGTTTCATTGCAGCCATTTTCCAAAAATCAAAAAAGTTTATTTTATTTCTCAGTAATGTACACTCAGCACCCCATCTTGACAGAAAAAAACAAATGTAGAAATTTTTGCAAATTATTAAAAAAGAAAAACTGAAATATCACATGGTCATAAGTATTCAGACCCTTTGCCGTGACACTCATATTTAACTCAGGTGCTGTCTATTTCTTCTGATCATCCTTGAGATGGTTCTACACCTTCATTTGAGTCCAGCTGTGTTTGATTATACTGATTGGACTTGATTAGGAAAGCCACACACCTGTCTATATAAGACCTTACAGCTCACAGTGCATGTCAGAGCAAATGAGAATCATGAGGTCAAAGGAACTGCCTGAAGAGCTCAGAGACAGAATTGTGGCAAGGCACAGATCTGGCCAAGGTTACAAAAAAATTTCTGCTGCACTTAAGGTTCCTAAGAGCACAGGGCCTCCATAATCCTCAAATGGAAGACGTTTGGGACGACCAGAACCCTTCCTAGAGCTGGCCGTCCGGCCAAACTGAGCTATCGGGGGAGAAGAGCCTTGGTGAGAGAGGTAAAGAAGAACCCAAAGGTCACTGTGGCTGAGCTCCAGAGATGCAGTCGGGAGATGGGAGAAAGTTGTAGTAAGTCAACCATCACTGCAGCAATCCACCAGTCGGGGCTTTATGGCAGAGTGGCCCGACGGAAGCCTCTCCTCAGTGCAAGACACATGAAAGCCCGCATGGAGTTTGCTAAAAAACACCTGAAGGACTCCAAGATGGTGATAAATAAGATCCTCTGGTCTGATGAGACCAAGATAGAACTTTTTGGCCTTAATTCTAAGCGGTATGTGTGGAGAAAACCAGGCACTGCTCATCACCTGTCCAATACAGTCTCAACAGTGAAGCATGGTGGTGGCAGCATCATGCTGTGGGGGTGTTTTTCAGCTGCAGGGACAGGACGACTGGTTGCAATCGAGGGAAAGATGAATGCGGCCAAGTACAGGGATATCCTGGACGAAAACCTTTTCCAGAGTGCTCTGGACCTCAGACTGGGCCGAAGGTTTACCTTCCAACAAGACAATGACCCTAAGCACACCGCTAAAATAACGAAGGAGTGGCTTCACAACAACTCCGTGGCTGTTCTTGAATGGCCCAGCCAGAGCCCTGACTTAAACCCAATTGAGCATCTCTGGAGAGACCTGAAAATGGCTGTCCACCAACGTTTACCATCCAACCTGACAGAACTGGAGAGGATCTGCAAGGAGGAATGGCAGAGGATACCCAAATCCAGATGTGAAAAACTTGTTGCATCTTTCCCAAAACGACTCATGGCTGTATTAGATCAAAAGGGTGCTTCTACTAAATACTGAGCAAAGGGTCTGAATGCTTATGACCATGTGATATTTCAGTTTTTCTTTTTAATAAATTTGCAAAAATTTCTACATTTGTTTTTTTCTGTCAAGATGGGGTGCTGAGTGTACATTACTGAGAAATAAAATGAACTTTTTTGATTTTTTTGGAAAATGGCTGCAATGAAACAAAGAGTGAAAAATTTAAAGGGGTCTGAATACTTTCCCTACCCACTGTGTGTGTGTGTGTGTGTGTGTGTTTTATGAATTGACCATGATGTAGAAATGAAACGATTTACCTAGACTAGGTGGTTTAAGGGGCACCTGGACCAGATGGTGTAAGGGGCAGGCTGATCAAATCTTGTAGGTTTCAGCTTACAATGTTCGTCACAAAATTATTCCAGCTTTTATTAAATGAAAATTCTGTTACCAAAATATGGAAATCCTTCCATCAGCTCTATGATTTTAGACCAGTTGCATCGACAAGCATTTTATGGAAATGGTCATAGTGAAACGTCTCACAGTGAATGGTTTGATCCACTTCTGTTTCTGTTCTGTTGCAACATTGACACTGATGAATACTATAAGTAAACATTTACAACAGTCTAAGACTTACGCTGGACTTATTTATAGATTTTTAGCTTTTTTTTTGTAATTGTATGCAGAAATATCCCGTTTGACCTGCTGATTTTTCTCCTGCTTTGATTAACGATAAGCCTGTTAAGCTAGTTGAGGGGTTTAAATACTTCAGAACCATTTTTGATTGTAAATTAAGTTTTACAGCCAAGACAGAGTACACTTTTAAAAAAGCGATGCAGTGTCTGTATCTGCTCCGGAAATTGAACTCATACGACATAAGCAAGAATATCATAGTGTTTATCAAAGTGTCATCGAAAGTATTCTAACTTTTAATATATGTTCATGTATGGACACTGGGGTTGAAGGACAAAAACAGATTGTGCAGAATTACAAATTTGGCTATCAAGATTATTGGGAAAGAGCAGAAACTCTGTGTGTGAAAATAATGTAGGTAAAACAAAGCTAGACAAATTGCATCTGATTTTAGACACCCCTTGTTTAATGAGTGTATTAAATTGCCCACTGGAGGGTGCTATAGAGCAGCTGCAGCAACTAAGAACATTTACGAAAAGTCTTTCATACCAAATGCAATAATCTTTCTAAATTCATAATGTGTCCACACTGGATTCCTTTCTGTTATGGTCTGTACTGTGTATATTGTGTTATTTATTGTGATTTTTAATGATGTGTTATTTAATCAGCCTGTGAAGCCCAAGACAAATTTCCACATTTGTGGAAAATAAAGACATTTGATTGATTTAGGTATGACTACATTTGTACACAGTTTGACAAATCATTTAATCAGAACCATGTATTTTGTTGTTCTTTTGCATTATTTCTCTTTTTTTTTCTTTTTTTCTTTCTTTCTCTAATGTAGACAAGTGGGTTAACATGTTTTATATTGAGGTGTGTAATTCTCTAAATATTCTGTCTCCTGCACAGGTGTGTGTAAGATGTACGAGGAGCATTTAAAGAGAATGAACCCCAACAGTCCATCAATAACATACGACATCAGCCAGCTGTTTGACTTCATCGATGACCTGGCTGACCTCAGCTGTTTGGTGTAAGTTTGACAGGGGGGGGGGGATAATGAAGACATTACTGATTTTTATTTTTTAGAAATATTGAGTGTCAAGACAGCTCTCAACTTGATGAAATGATAATACAACACTTTGCTAGGATGGTAACCACAAATGCAGCATGTTGTGTGTTTTAGTGTCCCATAGGGTTTTTCAGTGGATGTATTTTGGGAGTGTTATGACCTGGCTCAAAAGGCCACAACAAAAGGGAAACACCATGGTAGAAGTTTAACAAGATGTTTATTTAAACCAAAATGAACCAAATTAAGGCTGGTGATAACGTAAAGGGTATGAACATCAGAGGTTTCAGTCATGTCAGGACAGGATGATGGATGCATGGGAAACGTGTGTAAGGGATTTGTAATGTGCAAGAAACAATAACTACAACTAAAACAGCATGTCCAGAAAACAAGGCAAAAGGTGGAACATGTGAAGGAAAACAGAGGCTAGAAAGTCAGCTGTGTGTCCTCAGCCCAGCAGCATCATCAAATACACTACAGGGCAATTAGCCCAGGTGCCCAGAGTTACTGCAATCAGTCTCAGCTCTTCACCTGCAAGGGATAGAGATTGGCAACGTCCACACATGACCCCACAGGAGGAAGTCATGAAGATAGTGAGATTTCATGATATTGAACACAAAATATAAACTGTTGGCTGTATTGGAACAGAAATTATCGACCTCCATTATATTAATCAAAACCTGTCTACCAGACATTTTGAAAGCATAATATTTATTGAAATTTCCTTTTTAAAGACAACTAGGTAATAAAAGGGTTCCCACGCGTCCTGGAAAACCTGGAAAAACAGTTGACCAATTCAGTCATGGAAAACACATGGAAAATGAGAGAGTAAAATGTCCTCAAAAATCATGTTGCAGTTGATCGGTTATGTTGTGGCAGTGTTGTGGACGTCACATGGTAGCACAGGTTGGCTATGGTTGGGTGACATTAGTGGGGAAACACTACATAATACAAGTTGCGTTATCCTCCAAAGGTAAATATTAGTCTCTGCTGGCTGGTAACTGTGGTAGTTTTATTAGGTTCATAGATTAATGTTTTGTTCTCAACTTGTTTTAAACTGTTGCACGTCTTTAAAATCAGACTTCCGCTGAGAGGAACAAATTAGTGTATGACGTGATCCAGTTCTGTCTTATTAGCTAGATCATCAGTGAAAATGTCCTGGAAAATTATCTCTTGAAAAAAATGGGAACCCTGAATAAGCAAAAGTGATGTCTTATGGATGTGTAAAATCTCTGTTTGCACTTCCATGTGGAGGGTTCACCATATTGTGGGCTGTCCCAAACCAGTTAGTGAGGAGTAGAAGTGCACTTTAAAATCCTCTAACAGCATCACGGTGCTCCTAAAGAGAAGCACACGTGCCGTAAAATGGCGGGAATAAAGTCAAATTAAAGTTCGGTCTCACTACAGCACCTAACTCTTTGCTCCATTATCCTTACACATTTTAGAGTTGTATGCAGGGACGTGGCACATAAAACACAACATTACGGTGAGCAGTGTGTCCAAGAATAACTGCTGTTTCCTGCTCACGTGAGAGGTTGGCACGTGTGTCTCGCAGTTTACCTGTTTGTTTACACCCTCCCTCTCCAAAGCTGTGAGTGTGACTTCATGTGGAGTCTGTCCATAGTGAGGCGTTGGCGAGGGTGGAGGCAGTTTGGGGAAAGCCTTTGGGGAATCTGCATTTGTCATCAAGAGATACAGGAGCGCTTGATTAATAACGTGTCATAATTTACAGTTTACAGAAGTTTACAGTATTCACACTGTTGCACACTTAATATTAACCACTATTGGCCAAAAATCTCCACATGAGGGAGCGCTGCCAATTTTTAGTCCCTCTGTTGTCTGTCATCAAGAGGTGTGCCTGTTTTTTATTTTCATATTTCCATCACAAAGCCACCAAAGCATTTGTTCTACTCTTTCATAAAGCACCCTACAAGGACATCTCCAGCAATCTGAACCTTCATTCACATCAACCTTTGCATCTTTTTTACCAATATTCTTTCTGCTTTATCATATTGTTCAACTATATATGTTGTATTAGGAGGTAATGTACCCTTTCATTTTCAAGGGGATCCCCTTTTTTTTTTTTTTTTTTTTTTTTTTTTTTTCTCCAGTGCACAAAACGTTGATGTAGAACAAAGCCAGAATTCAAACTCGCATTGCTGGAAATATTCAGTAAGAGCAGATGAAACTTGTTTTGCCTGAAGCCTCTGCAATGTAGGGCATTTTTGTTATTTTGGTGGGAGGTTTCAAGCCCCTTTGTACACAAGAAACCACTCTGCTTAAGTGCCCTTGAGCACTGCCATGGTGCTTTTCTCTCTCCCTGTAGCTGAACTTGACTTCTGACCACAAGGAGAGGAGAAGTTTTATTTTTTTTATATAATTTTTTTCCCAGAGAGGAAAACGTCCTACAATGAATTGCCATGTTGCTTGGGAACTGCGCTGTAGAGAGATTGATGATCTGGGGCAGCCAAGCCAAAAAAAAAATTTAAACAATGTAATTTTTCATGCTGCTTCAGGTATCGCGCCGACACACAGACGTACCAGCCGTACAACAAGGACTGGATCAAAGAGAAGATCTACGTGCTGCTTCGCCGTCAGGCCCAGCAGGCAGCAAAGTGAAGCCTCTGAGGGGATGGAGGGTCGGGCGGGTCAAGATTATTTTTCTTATCTGTAACTTGGTTTGATTAACTTGTTTTAAGATATTTTTGACAAAGTTTTTGTTTTTCTCATGACGGGGAGGTGTATTTTGTATTTTAATGTTTGACTTATTAATTAAAATTTCATTTCATTAACAAGTTTCTGAACTGAGTTTTTGTCTTGTACCTATTATCTTGTTTCTTCTCCTACTTTTTCCTTTTCCCTTCCTTACATTTCTTTCTCTCCTACATCTATCTTTTCTTTTCCCTGCCATAGTCCTTACATCTCTGCATCTAGAAATTTTGATTTTAGTTTAGTTTTCCTGGACTTGTAAAATTGGACCAAAAATTTCTTCCATAGTTTCCTTTCTACTCTATTTTCTCCTTTTGCGCCTGTTTTTTTAATATATATTTTTTTATAGTCTTACTCCTTATTTCTCTGTCCTTTTTAAAAAAAAAAAAAAAACTTACTTCTTTCACTCTTCCTCCCTCTTGGACAGTGTGCTGTTGACTGTAGATAAGCGCTACTGAGGATATCAGTTTGCCTTGCAGTGGTGCACATTGTAGTTTCCCCTCCTTTTCACTCAATACAGTGGCAAACAAGCGCGTCTCAAAATATTGAATTGTTTTTCTTTTAACTGCCTCAGAAGAATATCTACAATTTCCTGGACTTTCAACAGACCACAACAAACAGATGGGCCTTGTGGGAATAAGATTAAAAATGAAATGTTCCTCCTTTGATTTCTGTCCTGTCTTTTCTCTATTTGCTCTTTTTTTCTATTTTGTGTTTGTTCCTTTGTCATTTTTGTGTTACTTTTACTGTCTTGTTCCTCATTTATCTTTTTTTCCTTTTGTTTTAGCCTTTCCTCTTTGACAGTATAGCAGTGACTGTAGAAAAGGATGCCAGTTTGCTTCGCATTTTTACTCAATACAGTGCAAATAAGTTGGTATGGAAATATATTTTATTTTTTTAACAGTCTGGAAAAAATATTTAGTTTCCTGAGCTTTAGAAGAGCCTTGTGGATTAAGATCGTCATTGGTTTCATTCATTCTTCATTGTCAAGATTTTCTCTTTCTCCCTCTTGAAGACTGATGCCAACTCTAGAAAAGTGCTACTGTGTCAGTCTGCATGCAGTGCAAGTGCATGTGGGAATAAAATTTGAACATGACCTTACATTAGTTTCCTTTCTTTCTGTTCTGATTTTCTCCTTTTGACCTGCAATTTCTTTTTCCCTGATAGTTGTTTTTTTTTTTTTTTTCTGTTTAGTCCCCATGTCTGCTGTCTTTTTCTGTCTGTCCTTAACAGTATAGAAAAGTGCTACTAACGATGACTATTTACTTTGCAGTCTTGCACAATTTCCTTCTTTTGGCACAACATACGTGACAAAGTCTAACGTTTCGAAATATATATACATTAAGAGCACTCACTGGGAAAGTATTCGCTGTTTTCTGGACTTACGGGAGTAAGAAAATCCAAAACGTCTGTACCGGGGTAGAAGGAGCTCCACGGTGAACTGCGGGGATATGTGAAGTGGCTGCTGCCTGGCGGGGCGCAGGACGCGGTCTGTCTCGCGCTGCTGAAGCTGGATCCTCGCCTCCTCTCAGTTGTGTTCTTCGCCACCTTTGTGTTGTGATCGGCTCTCCCAGTCTGTTTCTCACACCCACCCCGGTGCACCCCCTCCACCCCCCTCCTCCTCCTCCTCCTCCTCCTCCTGCCCACCTCCATCCCACCCTACCCATACCCCATACACCACCACCCCCTCTCCTCCTTTTAGCATCTGAAAAGACCACTGAGTGAGAATCGATGGCGCAGAGGCCCGCTTGACAGGACAATAAACCACAAAGAAGGGGTGAGTTTTTTTTTTTTTCCTCCTGTCGGTTGTTTTTTTTGAATTGCGGAATTACACTAATGGCACAACGATAAGAGAATCGCTCGGGGCTGGCTGCGTGGAAATCATATTTAACACAAGGCATCTTTTGTTACCGCGATATGATTTACAGCAGGCGTCAGCTGCCGTGGTCCCACTCAGGGGAAAAGAAAAATAAAGAAATTAGAAAAATACCACAAGGAGCAAACGGCTCCCCATCCTACATGGTTTGGGACATTCATTTCACACGACCACACATTCACCTTACGTAACCTATAAATGCATCACTGGAGCCTGGTCCTGTTATTGCAAGAGAATAGCATGCACTTGCTGCTGCAGGTTTAGATGAGGGTCGTTTGCCTGGATTTCATTGGGCGATGCGGAACCTTGAGGGTGTTAATGCGGTTGTCGTGTTGTAAACAAAAATATGTCAGCAGGACCGGAGAGGGAGGTTTGTGTTGTTTTTTTATGGGACCTCCCCGGGAAATTGAGCGCAAGGCAGAGAGTAATGTTATAATTGGCTTGCGCTGTGCCGAGCTTCTCCACATTGCTTTTTTTTTCAGCCATGAGGAGAGGATAAGTCACATCCCAGGCGCAGGGGGAGCCGTCTATTTACAGCTGAGGCGTTCAGATATGCCCCTCTCGTGTCTGTGATAGCCACAACAATAGCTTCCATTTTCCTCATCAGCCGCAGGCATGATCAATAGAATCCAAAACTAAATAAAAAATGATGCTATTATTGGTAAAGATTTGGTCCAGTCTCCACAGATGTCTGCAACAAAATTACACCAGCTCTGCCCACAGCTGAGGAGAAACTGATGAATCATATATTGATCTTATGTCTCACCGCTGAGATGAGAATGTGTTTTGACTGGAGGTAACCTCAAGTGACCTGACAGCATGTGGTGGTGTGTTTGTGCCCCCCCCCCCCCCCAATTCATCCAGCCTAGAAACCGGCTTCCCGCACCGTGAGGACGCAGCGATGCCCCAGCAGAGGGAGGACCCGTCTCCGTCCCGCCGCCTCGGCCTGGCATCCTTCCGCCTCCAGACTCAAAAGCCCGGCCACGACTTCCCATGAGGCCGCTACTAGAACTCAGCTCGACCGATCTGTATGGGGCCTCTCATATATGAAGTAGTTCTGTGGTCTGACTCGTTCTGGAAAGCAGACTCATAAATGATACTCATGAGGAGTTGAGGTTGATGAGTGTTGACAGTGGGCGATTTGTTCATTTCATTTCAAATAGCCTAGGTAGAATGATGAAAATTTGCTTCATCATTTTATCTTTACATTGTTCTCCAGTGATTGCCATCCTGTTTGGAAATGGAGGGGTTGTCTGTCTCATACTTCTATTAAACAAAATAATTAAGATTTTGCAAATGTTCTTGTGAAATACTGAAATGAAATCACTTTTCTGGCCTCTAAAATCCTTCAAATGAAACAATCGAGAGTAAATAAGTCTTTGGTTGAACTCATGGCCACACTGGTATCAATGTGATAAAGGGCCACAGGAAGACTTTATTTTAAGGGGTCACAAGTCAGACATGCAAATGTGAGGATTTCCCACGTTTCTCTGTTTTATAGAATTGCAAATAGATTTGGGACTCTTTGTCAGAAACTAAAAGCGATTCAGCACGGCACCTTGTGGTCCGGGAAATTGTGATGAACATTTTTCACAATTTTTGACTTTTTATATATTAAACAATTGCTTAATTGAATATCATAAAATAATACAAAATAGCTGTAGATTGTTGTAGGAGAATGCTTTAAGTTTTTTTTTTTTAAATCAACTCCATCGGTGCAGGGCTAGACTGATTCCTTGTGGCCTGTGAGATCTGCTGGGTTTGTAAACTGAAAGCGTGTCTGATGTGAACTGTGAAGCAAGACCTTTAGGCACTTTGTATACCAAGGGATCTTAAATTCAGAAAGCAACATGTTGTCGGTGGAGGTTTCTGAGGACCAGAGTCATCAGGTCTGATGTTTTTGTCATGTGGCAGCTAGGTGTGGTTTTAGCATGAAGACCTCAAAACAGAAAACTTCCGTATAGTCCAGCCTCCTCATGACAGAGGCGTGCATACGTTTCTCTGAGTCAGACTGGGAAAGAAAGTATTTTATTTTTTAGATATGTCTCAAATGGCAACCTTGGTGATACTGTTGAAATAATTAAAAAAAAATTAAAACTGTCATCTGAAATAAAATCATCTGTAGCTGCAGCAAAAATTACAGCAAAAATGTGTGTAATGCATTGGGTTTTCCTCTCTGATTGATCCTACACATGATTGCATTTGTCTTCTCAGTTGACATGGAGGATGAAGATGGGACTTGTCTACTTGATGTTTTGTGGTGAGTCTGTCTGATTCTTACTTGGATCCGGCAGAATAAAAAACAATATCCTGTAGATGATGAAAAGTAAGTAAGCAATAAAATCCTTTGTACAGGGTTTTGTTATTGCACGCTATATTTAGATTTAATGAGGTCTAATGTTCTCTTAAGCTGTACTTTGTTGTGTGCAAAAACCTTGGTTTGCACCAAATATTCACCAAGATTAAACAGATATTGATTGGAATTTTAATTTCAGTCCTCTCTTCGTCTTCACAGTGACCCCCAAGCCCTGAACGACTTCCTTCATGGGACCAATGAGGTAACAAAAGAGTCTTAAATAGAGAAGGACTCAAATAAAAAAATCAATAGTGCAAATGATAAATTCAAGATGGGAATATTTCTTGGCGCACAGTCGTGTGAGCTGTGTGGAGGAGGGCTGACAGTGTGAAAGAGAGTTGTAATGTAATACCGCATGCATTTCTCACCATGACTTTGTGAGCCCAACCTAAAATTGACTAATTTCATCTCACCAGCTGCAGGCTGAAGACCTGCTCATTAACTCCTCCTCTGGGGAGCCTTCCCTCTTCACAGATGCCCCGGTGAGTGTCTAGATCCACAGCCAGCAGCGTCACAACAACTAGCATTTTCCCCAGGAGAATGATTTTTTTTTTTCTCTCCTTCTGTGCCTGAAACAGTTTTCTGTAAACTCCTGCTAATCATACAATTCTCCCCTCCTTTTAACTTTCTCTCCCTTATCCTGTTGTCTGTACCTCTCTTTCTATCTCACACTGATTCTTCCTCCAGAGTCCCGTCTCTCTGCTGGGAGATGGCA